TTCTCAAATATAACATGAACATGAAGGATGTGCATTGGCACTGAAAAGGCTTTGGCTTCGCACTGAGTTTCTGAAATTATCAATAGCTATGCATGAGGAAATAAAATGTTCCAATGTTTCATAAAAGTGTTTCCCCGAATTGGAATAATAACAAAATCATTAGTGAAATGTAGGTTTTCCATAGGATCCAGATGAAATTCAAAAATGTGGTAAAAATATTGATCAAGCCTATTTACTTCAGCCTGAATTTCAAAACATGAATTGACATAAATCAAGATCTTGAGATATCTTACCAGTAACAAATAGCAATCCTTTCGCTGGATGTAAAGCTATGTGTGTTGGTTTACTCCGTTTCTTATAAACAATCCGGGAATATTTCCCATCCAATCGAATCATCTGAAATAAAATTAAGATAAATATTTTGTGTTTTATTCTGTTTTTTTCTCTGCTTGTGCAGAGCTTTGTACAAGATGAAGGTTTATGGCAGGGGGGGGGGGGAATTAGGGCCCACGGCCCAGTTTCGGCCCACTGAAGTGTTTCATCCGGCCCACTTGTGTCTGCTGAAATTAGGACTATAGTTTTTATGGAAATAAATATCCGTTGAAAATAAAGGGTCTCACTACTTACTGAATAGAGTGCAAATCAGCGCAGAAGAGAGGGAAACATTTTTCTTTCATTATTAGCATCTGTGAAATTTCAAACAATTTGATGGGAAACAGTATACAGTGATAGGGAATGATCACAGGTTTATATCAGTAATCTTCAACATCTTTAAATAACCCAACATGACGCACCCTAACCTGGTACACATATGATTTTGCTTGTTAGTGTGCTCATATTGCGTCATGTTAGGTTATTACTTATCGATTTTAATCGGTAAGTATGTTGATAGGTATTTGTCAGTCTGTTAGATGCACGCGATATCTCACGAAAGCAAGATTAGATCTGCTGCAGATTTTGCATATGCATTCATCATATCTCGCATTCATCATTACGTTGTATAATTAGCGAGGTATCAATTAACTAGTGATGGGACACAAGGTGTCACTATGGAGTAAGAGCGCTGTTTTGGGGGATCCCCTAACTTTCGATGGATAAGTCTTCGGTCTCCGACCGATATTCTCGTTTAAAGATGTCGAAGATTACTGATATAAACCCGTGATCATTCCATACTACTGTATACTGTTTCCCCTCAAATTGTTTAAAATTTCATGGACGCTAATAAATAATGAAATAAAAATGTTCCATCTCTTCTGCCCTGTTTCCCTCTCTTCTGCGCTCTTCGCCCATTCAGTAAGTAGTAAGACCGAAAATAAAGTGATAATGACTTCAACATTGTGATTCGCATTAATATATAAACGTTAGCCTGTAGCTGTTGGACTGGCTGTTGCAAATACGCCGCTTTTTTATTCATGGTTTTTCATATTGAGTTTTTAGCTCTCCGCCCACTCAGAAAAGTAATTGGTCATTCCTGGTGTATGGAATGAAGTGAAAACGTCATAAAAAAAGTCTGTAATGTTCAGAACACAACTATAGAGCAAATATATTAGAAAAATTGTATAGAAACGTACTTCAATGGTTCCCATGCAAGGATTCGTCCAATATACATTCTTAGCCATCCAGTCAACTGCGACTCCTCGAATGCAGTCTTTATCATAAAGTAGCCTGCAAATAACACAAGATGAGTTGTTATCTATTCTAACTTTAACCATTTGGTAGGAAATGTTTTTGCATATTTATTCTGATGAAAAAAAGCTTATAAGACAGTTTAATCATATGATGAACCATGTTTCTGGTGTATGAGGATTTGAATCATTGGTGTTCAAAATTTAGTACTTATTCATTTTGTGTGCGACTTTATTATCCATCAGTCTTGTTAACTATATCTTTATTGTATTTCTGGCAACTAGCATTTTCACAGATAGCTAAGCATGGCCTGTGATGTCATCAGTTACAGATGACTGAGCATGACCAACCAGCTGTGAAGGCGAAGTAGCCATGTACTTGAGAGCTCATTCCTGTTGGTGTATCTTGAGAATTACTTTGGTTATATTTATGGGCATTTACTAATTATATGTTTTTAATTAACAGCTAACAGATCTTATCCCAAGACAGGTTGGTCATCCCTGCCCTATAAGTCATATCTAACTCACCCCACTGGAACACGCTTCGAACTTGCAGGTCTTCGAACAGCGTATAAGATTCCTTGTGAGGACATGTCGCGATTTGCTTTGAATATTGTGTTCTTTGAAGTGTCAACCCAGAAGATTAGATTTTCAGCTGCAAGAAGAGAGAAACAGCAATTAAAAATCTATAATATTTTAATACCTATCAACAAAATTCATTAATAATTGTATACTTATCAACATGAAATATAGTAGAATCTCTACCTGCTATGGAATATTTAATATTGATTGGTAATGTACTTTTGAAAAAAAGCAATTTTTTGACAGCAAGAAGAACGATCCATAGGTCTGCTTTATTCCAAATATTATAAACCAAAGCTTTCCAAATCGGGGGTCGTGACCCTGCGACCCCAAGATCGCAAAGAATACACTAATCTCACACAAAGTCATCAATTGTACTTTTTTAGACTTTTAAACACAAATAATAAAACTAGTGCAAAACATAAATTCCACTATCTGGAGAAAATATCTAGATTTACAAAAGCAGCGCGCTTGATAACAATGCCGACTTAACAAGGGTCGTGGAACATTTCAATATATTGGGAGGCGTCGCGAGCTTAAAAGTTTGGGTAGCTATGATATAAACCATGGGTTCCTAAGCTTTTTTCATGACGACCCCAAAGACAACTCTCAAGTGTCCAGCGCGACCTCAGGTCAACAGATATTTTTTCAATGAAACTTCTGAAGCTTCTTTCACTGGACTTCTGAGTTTGGTCATGTGGTGGTAATAAGTAAAATATTCTAGAACCAAACAGTGATGTCACAATAAGCACTTACATTTTCTATAGCAAAAGCATAGAGCGATGGTGCAAACTGCTAAATTTAACATGGTTTGTCAAATCTTAGATGATATGTACATCCATCCTCTACCGTACCTCAGCGACCCCATGACCTGTTTGCTCCCCTACCTACTTATCACTCCGACCCAATTTGGGGTCGCGACACCTGGTTTGGGAATCCCTGATATAAACAAACCTGTGTAGAAATCCACGGAAAAGACGTCGACTTGTTCTATCACAGGAATCATAGCGAGTTCCGACATGTGATCGATGTTGTATCCGTATATGGTTGAGCTTGTGTGATAGAGAAGAAAATCTTGCATTCCTGGGTAATTGAAAAATATATTTAGCAGCAAGATCAGAGGTGGGGATGTAACTATTAGTTCGCATTAGTTCATTTTGGCAGACTTTTTCATATGTCACATGTTTCTTACACTCACCTATGTTAGGAATGAAGTTATTCAAACACTGGTGCAGTATTGTTTCGGTTCTTTTAATTTAGTTTGAACGATATTCGAAATGTTTTTCCAGTGTTATTCTAGAATAGTTCAATATTTGGAAATGGGCATCCCTAATCAGAAGTACCAGTAAATGTGACTTCTTTCTGAACACAGTTATGGCGACCACTAAAATGTCTGCTCTAGCAAAACCATGTGAAATTGCGTGTAGATTTATATAAACTAAATGGAATCATGATGCTGTATTATGCCCCAATAAACGCCGGTCAATGTGAGAATTGAAGTAGTTCAAGTCATTATAATCAGCTAAGAGATGTCGAATTCCATATAATAAAAGTTCTTTCAAATCCAATTTTTTGGAATTGGAAAAAATTGTCAAAAATATTATAACATTCAATTCTTAATCGTCCTTACTTACCATTGCACTCATTCCCATTAGGTTGATATCCAGTCGTACAGTTGCAAGTCACTCTTCCTTGGTATGAAGGCAGGCACAAGTGGGCACATCCTCCATTATTCACTGAGCAACTGGAAAAATTCAAAAACAATGAATAATGTTAAAATTTACAAGTAATTCAAGTATTCATAGTCCAATTTCCATTATTATAATATAATTTTTCTCAATTTCATAGGTTATTTTCAGTGGTTGGAAAATATAAACTTGACTTGTAAAAAAAATTTGAAAATAAAGCTTCTAGCGGCTTGCGTCTCTTAATATCAATAATTTGAAATTTGCTGGTTCATAAGTTAAAGAAAGGAAAAGCAATTTTGTCCTGCAAGAACAAAAATCGGCAAAACAATCCATAGATCCCGGCTGTGTATTCCAGGGATTCTAATTCGGAAGAAGTTGACTATAAGTTATAAAGCCTCACAATAAATTTATAAAAAATAAAATGCACACATAAATGGTCCGTGAACTTCTTTCTTACCCAGTTTTTTTTTTTTTTTAACGCCCTTCCAGCGACTTGCATTAAATATTTAAAATTGATTGATTCATAAGTTGAAGACCAATTGATACTGAATAAGCGGTCACATTTTTAAATTTCAAAAAGCCGGTAGTCGAAAATGAAGTCACCATTCAGAATTTTATGACTTTGAGCTCAGATTATTTCCGGGAGCAAAAGAGTGATGGTCGAACAAAAATAAACAAAAATTATGGCATCATAATAACAAAATGTGATGTCACAATTACGGACAGTTATGACAACTCTGCAAAACGATTCATAGGTCACAATAACTTCTTTCTTACCCAGTTTTATGAACCTTCATTTCCGTATCATAGAAAGCTAAGTCGGTCACAAGAGACGGCAAATTTGTTCGCTTCGTGAAAACGCCAGGATTCGACGTACTCGATGAATATAACGTATAGACTTTGTCATCTTCTTCTCCCTCAACTGTAAAAGTTAAAGTTATGACCTAATAATCACTCTAAAGTTGATAAAGTTAGTAGGTAAATGCGATGGTAGTAGCAATAGATGATGTTGTTTTTTAGTTTTAAAGTGGTAAATTTTACCTAATTATTACTAAAGTAAAAGTTTTCGTAGAAGAAATTTTATGTTTTTCTTGAAGTTTTTCCCCGCATGGAAAAGTTAGTGGGCCACATAATTTCTGTGCAACAGAAATGGGCCCCGAAAGAAAAAGGTTGAGATGAGAACAACTGGTCTACTTATTTCACAGGTTCACAGAGAGCAGATGGCTTATCTGAGGGCATGATTAATTTGGCATCACAAGTCAAATGGCCTAATGCAGCAGTTCTCAACTAGGGGCCCTCGGCCCCTGAGGGGGCCACAGAGCAGTCGACGGGGGGCCACAATGCCAGTCACAAACTGATTTTACTTTTCGTCTTACACAAAAACTCCCCGTTTTTCTCAGATTATTCTTTGATAAGGTTATCTCACAGGGGGTTTTCGCTTTTTTTGTGCATGAATTGTTTGAACATAATGAGATTTGGAATCAACCAATCAAAATACCACTATAAATACCGCTGGATTGATGGACAGGGGGCCATGGGTGCTAAAAACCAAGTGGGCCATGAGCCATGAAAGGTTGGAAACCACTGGCCCTAATGTATACCAATCATGCTTCTGGTGCACCACTCGCAATGGCAAAGTCAGGTTTACAATTGAGATCAGCAACCAGAATTGTCAATGTGGTCAAGTCAATTTCAAACGTTGTCCCAACTTTTAAACTATAGGTTTTCACAAACTTTTAAAGCCACGCCCCTTTTCAGAATTTGTCAAGTCTCGCGCCCCACCTCAAAAATAACAATACGCTACAAATAACAGATAGTAAGACGAAAGTATGTTTATTCAAAAAACATGTTGAAAATACATGGATGGAAATGTAAATATATAAAACATAGTGAGCAAGATCAAATCTAACAAATATTTTTAATCAGCTTCACACCCCCTTAAAAAATTGTCTACGTCCCCTTGTGGGGCGAACCCCACCAATTGAAATCCACTGCTCTTGGTAATTAATTTGTAAAACAATCCGGTAGGCGCCCAGTTGGATCTCCGCCATTGCTTGAGGCCCGCGTCATTTCAGTTTACTTAACGGATAATAGGAGACAATACTAAAAACGCCAGTTCATTTTGAACGCTGCGCGTACCGCTGAGTTCATTTCAAACGCTGCGTGTTTCGTAGTCTTGCTCGCGTGACTGGTATATTGTGGTTGAAAATTAAAAAATAATCTTCACTAAAATCCCTGAGGTTCCTCCAGTTTATGGAGTATCGAGACCAAAGATAACCTTCTTGAAAGAGTATTTTGCTATGCGGAAGGTAGCATTCTTGGAATTTTAATTATCGACTTGGTTGGCGAGAAAACTGCGATAAAATGTGAAAAAAATTTAAATATCGTAACGATCGGCGCGTTTTTCGTTATTACCATGGAAACGAAATCCATATCCGGACTTTTTACGAAACGCATAATACTAGGGTGACAGGATAACCCACATGGAAAATTTCATCAAGATTGGTCCAGACGTTAAGACGCTACATCCAAACAGACAGACAGACAGACAGATACACAGACAGACAGACAGATACACAGACAGACAGACAGAACGACTGATAATAAGGGTCTCCTAGAAGCGGAGATCCAATTGAAATATTTATATATATTTTGAATTCATTGCTACTGGACTGTAACCTAATAAATGCTGCCATACAGCATATACAAATGGTCCTGGGACGCTGATGACCTCTACCTATCTTGCCGCACACAAACAATATTTTAGTGCGCGCTACAATCATTATATACAAATTATAAAACAACTTTGTTTTTCTTATTTTATATATGCGAATGTTGTTTGTAAAAAATAAATCTCCCTCCATTGTTCCAATGGTTGTTACTCCCCAAGGTGAAACCATACTTGAAAAAAAATCCATGAATAGAAGAAACCCACCTGTGACAACATAAATCAACCCATCGTGGACCTCTAGCGCCTTCATATTTGGAAGAGTTGGTGTCATGGCAACAGCCGTAGCATTCCAGATGATGTCAAGTTCGGGAGAGTTTGTGAGCATCTTGAGCACGCCGTTCTAAACGAAGATTCAACAAGGATTAATGGTTTGCAACCACTTTGGATGGTCATCTGAAACAGGGGAGTCATCAACAAGGTGTCACTATGGAGTAAGCCAACTGCTTTGGGGGATCCCCTAACCTTCGATCGATATGTCTTCGGTTTCCAACCGAATTCTAGTTTGTATCTTATCCTTCTGTATTAAAAGTTGCACACCCATGATTTAAAATCTAAACTTGACGGGACGGAGATTGGCAATTAACAAGCTTGAGGTGAGTTTAATTGGACCTCATTGAAGGCATGAAAATGATGCAAATTCAACAAAAAGCATTGAAACACATAATACTGGAAGTACTGCAAAAAATTTCCTACCTGGATAAAACACATAAAAAACTTACCTGAAAAAAACTAAAGAAAGTTTCCTACCTGGATAAAACACAATAAATTTTCCTACCTGGATAAAATACAATAAATTTTCCTACCCGGATAAAACACAATAAATTTTCCTACCTGGATAAAACACAATAAATTTTCCTACCTGGATAAAATACAAAAAGTTTCCTCCCTGGATAAAACGCAATAAATTTTTCTATCCAGATAAAATACAGTTTCCTACCTGGATAAATGACATTGAACTTTCCCACCTCGATGGAATACAAAAAAAAATTCCTACCCAGATAAAATGCAAGCCATTTTTCCTACCTGGATAAAATACAAGACATCTTTGTAGGACCCATCACCTTCTGTGGAATCTCTCTTGTCAAACCGAACATATTGTATGTTTTCTCCAGGATAAATCTAAAAATTTAAAATATAGAGGTTGAGGGAAGGATAATGGAGACATTTAAATCACCAGTTAGTATGTCTGCAAACATTTAGTGACAACCGACATGATAACGAAATGGAGATATCAAGCGACTGAAAACAGCTATCATATTTTATTTCAGGATTTACACTTATTACTCAGCGCTTAGATAATGTTTGGGAATTTCACAAGCAAAGTAGACTCATCTTTGAGGTCACACCGATTACTGAAATACTAAAACTCTGAAACATATTGAATTATGAAAAAATTACAAAATAAGAATTTCTAATAACTACCAGAGTCGAGTTTGTAAATAAATCAGTATAAACTATAATAATTTTGAACAAAATTCAGTCTGGCCACATTTTTTCTATATTTCATTTTGACCTATTTGAAATGGCTGAGAGAAAAAGATTAACACAAATTCTAATTGTCTGCTTGTCTGAGGAAGTCTGATTTCGGTCAAACGAAATGTTTCGAAAATACTTTGTCTTAGTGCGCAGCAAGTCTCTTGAATTGCATAGTATGAACAAATTCTAACTGTACAGATTTACTTAAAAGAAATGGAAATATGGTTTTGTATAGTTTGGGAAAAAACAATGTTTTTTAGAAAGAAATTTAATTTATATAGAAAGTAATACCCCAAAATAGATCAAATTGGCAACCAGTGAAATGATGTTTACATGGACATCTTCAAACATGGACCAAGTAAGAACTGATCGTAAGAATATTATTTATATATTATATGGGAATATTCAATCTATGGATGGGCAGAGAACGAGTAGAGCAACTTGGATAGCAGATGAAAATAGCCACTCTAGATTACTATGCATGACAAAAAAAAATATATTCAACAATAAAAACCTCAAATTCAATAAAGCAATATGATAAGGCTGGTGTCCAGACCTCTAAACAAATGGCACCACATAACAAAATAAAGCGATGCTCTAATAATACTCTTTTTAAATACTAACTTTTGGGTGCTCTTGAAGTATGCGCACCAAGATGTCGCTTAACCTCTACCCTAACCTGGTATACAACCCGAGTTCAGGTTGTGCGCCATCTTGGTGCGCATACTTCAGGAGGTCCAACTTTTGAATTATTGCCACTATTTCAACCTACGAAAGCACAAATAAGTTACCCCTCAAGCTAGTTTCAGATATATCAGTCCAAAATTAGTATAAAATTAACTATAATAGACCTCAAAACAAATGGCACCACATAACAAAAAAAAGCAATGCTCGGATAAAATTCTATTTTTTAAATTGACTATCACTCAGACATGTACGTCATAAGTTGCCTATTTAAAATTGGTGCATTTTTGATATAGTAAATTTTGATTCTTAGATTAAATTTCTAATTTGTCAATTTCGATATAAAATTTCAAAATATGAGAGTTTTAAAATGAAAAATCAGAAAGAAATGTCAATCGCAACTACTCTGCATTACTAAATTTCTCACAAATTCACGCCAAAATAAGGAAATTTCTTTAATTTTAACCTGAAGATGAATTCATTTAATATTTAATATTCAATGATATTTTTTTGTTTTTGCATTAGGAATAGACAACTTTTCAGTTTTGCAAGTACCAAGTCTGTATTATTCAACCAAATTATCCAAGCTGATGTCAGTTTCAGCCGCTTTTTTAAATTTATATTACAGTGAGTAAAAATACTTTTTGGTATTCTTTAAAAGTATAAATATATCCAACTTTCTTAAAAGACATCCTTTTCCAGTGTTTCTGATAATTTCCTGGTAATTTCCAAGTATAGAACTATATTTTAAGGAAATATCACATAAAGGATTAAAATTTTTGAACAAGTTTGCCCAAAGCAATGACATGAGCCATAACAACGTGCAAATGCGTCAAACTTTGAGATCTGTTCAACCCTAATCAATTCTACAACGTAAGCCTCCATGGCACAGGTAGTGAAAGTATAAAAACTTCAAAAATGTTGCCGTTCAGTCAGTCTTCATGCGAAACAAACTAAGTTATTTAAATTTAGTAACAAACACAATCCTGCATTGTCATTAGTTGTTCTTTCCATCACCCATGCACTCCTTTCCACGTCCTGAAAAACAAAAAATTGGATTCGAAATATACTTTTTGAGGTCCCACTTGCAAAGGATCTGAACCGTCAAGATAGAGCATGTAGATTCCGTCGTCGTCCGCGTAGAATAACAAGGAATGTTCGAAATCTGCTGTCAAACTTCGAGGTTTGTTTAGTCCTGGGAGATTGGCAGAAGTTATGATCCTGTGTGTGAGCCTGAAAAAATGATACCATAATTAACTTTTTTATAGAGAACACTGAATATTTTACAGAATTACCTACTGTATTTTCTCGAAATTACGCCTATCGCGCGAATAGGCCGACTTCTTAAAACGGCCCAAAAACAGCAATTTTATAAAAAAAAAATCGCACATAAGCCGGTCCTACGAATCGTTACATGCCGGACGCCTCAAGAAAACGTAGAAAGAGAACAAAATTGCTGCAACGCAAACATTTCTCCCGTTTATCGTTTCTGCATGTTAGCGAGGGCCATAGGTGGATTATTACCCGTAACTCTCACTTGTTAATTTATGTTAAATAAAGCCTGTATTGCTTTTCAGTGCGTCGTGATTGTGTCGGGAGTTTAAGATAGAGTTCTTGAATCAGCGTGAAACAATTTCCTTTGATCGCCACAACGGCGATTAATTTCGTTCCTTGTCCGTTTCAAGGAAAGAAATAACACTGAATTAATACATTTTTATAAATCGCTACGAATCTCAACACGCCAGACGCCTTAAGAAAGGCACAGAAAGAAAACAAATTTGCTGTAACACAAATATTTCTCACGTTTATCATTTCTGTTTGCTAACAACGGCCGTAGATTCTTACTCGTAACTCTTACTTGTAAATTCATGTTAATAATTTGGTGCAATCTGAGTATGCGCGTTTAAGACAGTCCCTTAGTTTGAAACCTTTTTTTTTTATTTCAAACTCGGCCCAATTCGCAAGCATATACAGTAAGTGTTTCTTCAGTTGGGAAACCCAAATATTTTGAGACTCATTCAAGTCTTCTTTTAGTTGTGAATACTAAAAAAAATTAAGGAATTATTTGTTCTTTCAGTTGGGAAAAAATACACTATTTAAGTGTCCCTATAGTTTGGAACACTAAAGTATTCACATTAGTTGATCCTTCTTCCTTCAGTTGGGAACACTGAAAATTTTATGGAATTTTTTAGTTGTTCCTCATGTTAGGAACACTACAATATTTATGCAATTATTCAAATCATCCTTCAGTTGGGAACACTGGAAATTTCATGTAACAATATTTTATTCCAGCTGGGAACACTGAAAATTTGCCAAGAATTTAAATGGGTGAAGATGATTACTGATAGAACTGGCTTATTTATTAAGCTTTAGAACTCCCAACATGAAAAAATAAAAATAAAAATAAATTATTTTTAATAATCTCAAATTACACATTAGCCAATTTTCATTAATTTTAGCAAGAATATCTGTTGAAACGTATTTGATATTCCATATTTGAGAATTTTTTTTCAAATATTGAACATATTTTCTAAAATGAGATCAGTAGATAAATTCATATAAATCAAATTAGTTGAGATAGATATCGTTTTGATTCACTTTCTATTTATACCAATGATTCTGTTTCGACCATCCTATCACCAACAGAAATGGAGGTGACTCCCCCTCTCCCATCCAACCTGATTTGAATCCAGGATAAAATTATTGTTGCCAGAAATACAATTAACGTAATGCACCAATATCAAAAACCTGGTTTAAAACAATACTAACTTTCCATTCAGACTGGCAACACTGATATGAGCATTCATTGTTTTGTTTCTTTTCTTAACAATCGTGTACGACGTCCAATATATAGTGTTTGATGAAGGACTGACGAGAAGGCCATGTGGATTGTCAACATCTGAACACAAATAATACTTTATGAGATGATTAGCACGAAACAGAGCTATGAGCAGGCAACTAACGAGTCATTTGAAATGGCAGTTTTAGTAAAAAGTCTGGTCTTTTAAAGTAATAACAATTTAAAATTTCGCCCGATTTGATAGTAATAACAATTGTAAGTTTAAATAAATTTTATTGGTTGATAAATGAGAACAACAAGCACAATAAGAACTATTAAGAAACAAAGAGGAAAAATTTTTTAAACCGTTATTAGGTACTATAAAATAGAGCCAAATTTTTTTGGACACCCTGTATAGCAGAGGTGAGCAACATACGGCCCGCGGACCGGGTCCGGCCTGCGAAAAGATTTTAATCGGCTCGCTGACTGTATCCAACCACACTTTGTAATGTGGTCCGACGCATCATTTCTGAAAGTTGCCGATCGCTCTACTCTCAGCGCACTGTCAGTGCGAGCTGGTGTAATGAGCAATCGCCTCAGTGAACAAACAATTGCGTTAGCACACTTGTTAAACAAACAATATAAGGTCAAAGCAGAGAGCGTTGTAAACATTCCGCGCTACTGTTATCAGTTATATTTAGATTCTAAATATAAATATATTTTAAGTATTAGCTTTTATACCAAGTTTAATTAACCATGGAATATCCCAAGAAACGTAAAGATGACAGAGAGTGTTTAGCATTTAATAAAGATTAGATACCGAAGTATTTTTTGTGATAATCCGGCCTGCCGAGGACTTCATTTTCCCACATCTGGCCCACCGACTAGAGAAGTTGCCCACCCCTGCTGTATAGTGGAGTACACAAAAATTAAATAGTTATGTAAGACAATAAGTGACTTAACTTGGATATTTCCAATAAACACTTGGACCGTACGACTTTGTATAAAAATTAAGGGTTTCACAGTGACACAAAGTTGGGAAGCCCTGCTGTATATGAATTAGGGATGGGCCGGGATTCGGATCCGGACTCTGATTCAAGCCGAATCCAGGCATTTTTTGGACTCGGATTCGATTTCGAGTCCACGTCAATTTTACCGAGTCTATAATCAATTCTGTTTTTACTAATTTACGCATATGTTTGTACTTTTACCCCTATAAATAAGGTCTGGAATTATGGAAAAGCATTGTAGTCAAAAGCTTTTTATTTTTCTATTTGACATGTAAGAATTTCTAAATAGCCGCCCAGAATTGACGCAAGGTGGTGGGCTGGAAATCCAGTTTACAGCCAAGGCGCACATTGACCCACGTTTACGTTTGAATTATGGCAGCTTAAAAAGAAGAAAAATATATTTTTAAATTGATTCAACAGCTATCTGCGCCCAAAATATGAGCTACGGCGTATGTTTGTGAGCGCGCGATGCTGTAGTATGGTCAAAAACGTGTTTTTCTACTTATACATTGTGATGTCACGGACTCGGAGGATTCGATTCGAGTCCTTGACCTATTACTCGGTTCGTCGAATCTCTGTTATGCCGGACTCGTCCAATCCCTAATATGAATACCCTTACCAGTGGTTATAACATTCTGTAGTTCACTTCCATAGACAAAAGCATTACTATTAGGTAATATTCCTAATTTTGGGAGAGCCATCTATCCAGATGTGGTCGCTTAATTCTAATACTAAGACATTTTTTTTTATTCTGGTGCCCCCCAGTACCCCTCAAACATTGTAAGACTATGAGTACATAAAAAAATCATATTCAACGCCCTTACCCGTTGTAATTACACTCTCCAATCCGCTTCCATTGATAAAAGCACTTCTAATGGATCCCCGCTCAGCATCTGCCCAGTATATTCTCTCGTTAGCAACATGGTAGGCTAATACAGTTGAATTTGATAGATAGGGCGTTGTAAGAGCTACCGTCGCACTGTAGTTTAAGTTCTCTGTTTGGAGGCCTCGGATCTGGAATATGATTTTTGATAGTTGGTGCATTGTGCTAGAACAGAGCCCAATGAGAGGTGATTGGTGTGAAGTACAGCACCATGTTTTTCTTTCTGACCCCCACCTGACAAAGTCATCTGAAAATTATGGACGACGGGAAAACTTAATGGGGGTCGCAGTAAGATTTTACGAAACTAACTTACGTAAAACGAAATATCGATCAATTTTGAAAGATTAAAACTAGTACTGAGACCAACATCACCGAAATGGAGCCGAGATTCCATCTTTTGTGCGAGAATATGCAAGCATATCGGTATCATTAAAGGTATTATAAATTTTATGATTTTCTTTTTAATTTTTGTTGTTTTATTAATTTTCCTTTCATTTTTATTTCAGTTCTGGGGGGGTCACGAAAGAAGCTTGGTCATGCCAAGTGGGTCGTAATGAAAAAAGTTTGAAGAACACTGTGCAAGAAGATGGAAATGCGATGCAGAGGTGAATAGCGTACTAAACGAGGGTTTGTCTGTCAAACCTTGTCGAGGAGCAGTATATATGAGAGGAATTTTTGTGGTTGCCAGGTAGTTCATGTAACTGCCAGCAAGCAACAGCTTCCTTCTTAAACAATCCATTTTATATATCTGCAATGAGCGAATTTTAGTGGTTGCCAGGTAGTTCATGTAACTGCCAGCAAGCAACAGCTTCTTCCTAAACAATCCATTTTATATATCTGCAATGAGCGAATTTTAGTGGTTGCCAGGTAGTTCATGTAACTGCCAGCAAGCAACAGCTTCTTCTTAAACAATCCATTTTATATATCTGCAATGAGCGAATTTTAGTGGTTGCCAGGTAGTTCATGTAAACTGCCAGCAAGCAACAGCTTTTCTTAAACAATCCATTTTATATATCTGCAATGAGGCGAATTTTAGTGGTTGCCAGGTAGTTTATGTAACTGCCAGCAAGCAACAGCTTCTTCTTAAACAATCCATTTTATATATCTGCAATGAGCGAATTTTAGTGGTTGCCAGGTAGTTCATGTAACTGCCAGCAAGCAACAGCTTCTCCTTAAACAATCCATTTTATATATCTGCAATGAGCGAATTTTAGTGGTTGCCAGGTAGTTCATGTAACTGCCAGCAAGCAACAGCTTCTCCTTAAACAATCCATTTTATATATCTGCAATGAGCGAATTTTAGTGGTTGCCAGGTAGTTCATGTAACTGCCAGCAAGCAACAGCTTCTTCTTGAACAATCCATTTTATATATCTGCAATGAGCGACATGGCTAACAAATCCCATACCTGACATAAACTGGTAAATGGGCGAAAGGCTGTAATTCGCCATACGATTAGGCTTTCCAATCGGCTTCCCTTTAACCAGGGTAAATATGAAAAATTCGGTTCCATTACATTTGAACCCACGTACATTTGAACCCACGACAATTGCACCTGTATGCTATTGCACCTATGGAATTTTTTTTGTTTCACGGATAGTTAAACCCATACTAACCCTAACCCATGGGTTTTAGCACCCGCATATAGATTGAACCCGTGGATATACGCATGGGTTCAAATGTACATGGGTTCAAATGTACGGTCACCAAAAAATTCTAATCTATCACCTACCTCTCCTGGGGACACATAGAACAATATCTTCGACTCTTTATTGCATCTAAAACCATCGCTATCAAGAATATATCCATAAGGACATTTGCAGGTGTAGTTTCTTCCCGGATGAAGATCTTCTGCATATGAGATCAGGCACATGCCGTCACAAAGGTTCACCTCGCATGGGTTTAGAGCATCTGGAAATATAAGATTGTTATAAAGTGGCGTAAAGTATGGCAAGCATGATAAATGCTTAATAAGATGAATTTTTTTGTGCATGTTTGATATTGTATGTATAACAACATCTCTATAATAAACACTTCATCAAATGTAAAAAAAACATATTGTTAACACTTTTACCACCACCAAACTCTCAAGCATCTAAAATAAATAACTGGTTAACTATTTCCTTACCAGGCATGGCCCCAAGGAAAGAGGCTGGTTCACTATATATATTGCTTTCTTCGTCTTAGATAAATGAGACTAGTGACTGGATAAGATCCTGTAGAATAACTTGTAAACTATTTTTTCGTGCCCAACATGGATTGATAACCCAGCCAAGGTTTGCCTTTTAGCCACCTTAACAGCTTTTTTTCACCTTCCCAAAAAAAGAGGAATCTTTACTAACCTGGTTGCCTGCTTTCGTGATAAACTTTGATATCAAAAGGTTGCACGACTGATAATTCAACAACGGTAACGTTTTTCCCAGTCCATTTGTTCGCAGACACTATCATCGTGGTTCGCCATCGGTCCAGAAGATATGATGGCCGTATAGCGCTATCGAAAACGGATGCGTCAGCCATTGATGATGTTTTAATACAATATAAACATCGCTGCCGTCGTACTTCATTGATCTTATGACATCTGATCTGGAATATAGTATTTTTATTTGTCATTTTTTGTTTTTTTTAGTATGGAAATTTGCCTTCTTTTCTTGTGGTCCAAAACGACTTCACAAAAAAAGTCATATCTTTTTGTTCAAACATGCTACAAACTTTGCTCATGTATCGTTGGAGAGCTTGTTTACGCATCTTTCCACTAACTGGTAATGGAACACACACTACAGGGGTACCCATTATTCATACAGAAGATTAAAAGCAAACAAAATATCTTACTTGGCATCAGCCCAGAACACTCTGTTGGATAAGTAATCAAGTGTGAGCCCATTAGGCCAACCGTCCTCTTTACTTTTTGCAATCCAGATTGCCGACCTCTCCTCTCCACCCATTGTGCTGCGCTCAACTCTGGCTTTAGTTTCTTCCCAGTCAGTCCAAAAGAGAAGCCTAAGAATTGCAATTTTAAAAAAACTTTATGAGACCCTATATATTCGGGGTGAAGTAGACCTTGAGAACAATTTAAAAAATGAACAGTAATAGCTTCCATCGGCTGGGCTGGCGATGTGCCGCATCGTGCTAAGCGTTAGGAATATGACTCTTCGTGGGTTCGCAGGTTCAAATCTTATGAGAGATAATTATGTGCAAGAAAATTGCTGGACTCCTTGCCATAGTAGGTTGCATCGCGGTACAAACCGATAAATCAGACAATCTCAAGGCTCAGACACAATTTATTTGTGGTATAATACTACATGTCACTAGATGTCAGCAGATACTTACCCAAGACTCGGATCCAGTGCAACAGAAATAAATCTGATGCACAAGATAGCATGTAAAAAAAAAAGATTGCTAGCAATGAAGTCAGTATGAGTTAGTTTTAGTATATAAATAAAAATGTAAGTGTAACTGTTTGCTACATTGTCCTTATTGTAAAAGTTGCAAGTTTCTGGCAGACACTTGAAGAAAACATGAAGTTTTTCCATATATTTTCTAATTATAGTTGCAAAGATATTAAAAACTTTGGCAGGTGTGATGTGTTATAAGTCTGAAACAATTTTATTGGTATTCATGTTGTATTTTCTCCCTCAGGATCTTTTTCGGAGCCAGACTAGGATTGAAATGATGATGATTGAATTCAAAATTAATCAAATTTCTTAACTATACTGTTCGCATGAAGTATATTCCCGCCCATCTAGAGCTATGTTCAGAGACGCAAAACAGCTTATAATTATTATTTCTAAACCAGTGTTCCCAAAGTTGATTGAGCGGGGACCAAAATTAGAAGCTGAATGACATTCGATGACCAGGAAAGGGGAGCGAACGCAAGGGCCTATACAGAGGCGTATAATTAGAATACCGGTATATTTGAATTGTTACGAACATTGTATCGTGCTTGAAATTTTATAATAACGTAACAAATGCGGTATCCAGAACACAGAAGGAAAAACACTCAAGCTCAACGGGCCATTGTAAATGGTTATGCTGTTTGTGATCGGCATGCAGGCTGCGATTGGTTTGGAAACCATTACTCTGAACTATCCAACTTACCCAAACTTTTCTCGTGGATCAAGAGCAACAGCTCTCGGACTGTGCATATTCCCGGCAATGAGTACAGTGCGATTCGTTCCATCTAAATTGGAAACTTCCATCTGATCAAGACTGGATTCCACAAAGTAGATGTGTCCTAAGTTGAAATAGAAAACGATTAGAATTTTCGGCGCTCTAGAAGTATGTGCGCCAAGATGGCAGACACCGGTACGAAGTATGTGTATTAGGTTAGGGTCAGGCAATAATTTTATTCCAATTTTTCTTATTTTAGTTCTATTACGAGTTCGGGTACTAGCCAAGTGACTCCCGTAGTATTTGTACCTTAAGTTATGGCCTAACCCTAACCTGTACCCAAAAGTTTCAGTAATCTAGAACGATTTCGACAAAAGTTATGTTCTCTCTAAAATTTGTTTCAAATGACCTGGATTATATTTTTTTCGTCACCTTAGCTCACATAGACTAATTAATAAAAGTTATATTCCAACCTGCTATCCAATCGATAGCCATTCCTTCGGGTGTTGCAAGTCCTTGGTTGATCAAAACTTCTTTGTTGGTCATTTTGAGATGCTTGTTCTTTTCTAAAAATAAGTTTAAAGATTGGATTGCATATCTTGGAGAAAAGGAAAGGTGATGAAATGTCTTAAATTTGATATGTGATATGGTATTTAAGATAGAGAATGAGGAAAGCTAATCAGCCAATGTGAATGAATAGATTTTGATGATGAAGGGTAGAGTTGTATTTTGGGATTCTTCGGAATCAGATAGACACTCAAACTGAAATTTCATTCAAAACAGAAATACACTCAAGTCTCCTAAATTAGGGTTGGCTAAATTACAACTCACGGGCCAGATCCTGCCCATCGAAGTGTTTCATCCGGCCCACTCGTGTCTACCACTTGTGACACGACTATAGCTCTCATGAAATATAAATTTCCGTTGAAAATATCGATAAAAATAGTGTCCTGATGACCCCGATTGGGAGCTCCCAAAGTATGCGAACCAAGATGGCGGACATCGGAACGTAACATGGGTAACAGGTTAGGGTTAGGCGATACTTTTTTTCCAATTTTCCTTATTTTAGTTCTATTATCAGTTCGAAGACTAGCCAAGAGCCTCTCGTAGTATTTATACCTAAAATTATGGCCTAACCCTAACCTAGTACACATATTACATCTTACCATCATATATTAACTTCCCTCTGACAATATGATCATCCAAGACATCTGAGTAGTAGATCTGTGCGTCTTTCATATGGAAATCTATAGCAATAATATGTTGAAGTCGACTCGCTACTATTGTTGATAACAAGTTGTATTCGGGAGCGCTGTCAAGGCGATCCATGTTAAGATGAACGCTGCAAACAAGAGAGTGTGATGTTTAGGATTCACATATTTATCCCGGGGGAGAGGAAAGCTCTTAAGGCGGCTTAATCATATAATGAACCACGACCTGTCGTCTGGTTACCAGTCCATGTCAGGTATGGGATTAGTTAGCCAGTTATTTGTTTTAGATGAATGAACTTGATGGTGGAAGAGGCCGTAACTGACCAGCAATGGTATCAGCCAGGGTACGTGAACCACCCAACGGCGGCGAGGGGTCCTACAATTCTCTCGTCCATAATTATTCCCGCATGGGATTCGAACCTGCGAACCCACGCAGTGTGATCAGGGGTGCTGAGCGTATCGTTTAGTACAATGCGCCATACTGCCAAGCTAATTCAGTTAGGGTCAATTGACACCCTAAAGAAGTGTTTTCAAACTTTCATTCCAGTTGTAATTACATAAATTTTAGAATACAAATAAGCCATTACCTTCTGATCGTATGTCTGTTAGAGAACAGCACAAATGGTGGAGGTCTCTTCTTTTCAAATCGGCAAGTTTTCTTATCGCCAGCAAGAGTCCATCCAGGATTGCATTTACAGACGTAAGCAGGATGAATAGGAATGCATATCTGAGAGCAGATACCATGCTCGGAGCAGTAGGGAATGTCTAAAGTAGAAAGATGTGTAAAATTAAGAACTTTGACGAAGTGTGTGAGAGTTAGCTGTGGGTACAGCATGGTGGAGGTCTGAAGTTCGAAGAACCGCCCCCATTCCCCCCTTTTAAAATGAAATAAAATTGTGCCCTAACTCTAACCTGGTACACATACTATGGGAGTACCCAAACAATAACCCCCCATCTAAGAATTAGACGTTCTCTGCACTAAACCACCCCTTCACAATTCCTTAGGTTAGTTTTTTGGTTTTTTTCCTTTGGTTTTTGAAGTACGTTTTCATTCGAAAAAGATTCGTTATTTGAGTGCATACCCTAACTCTATAAACCTGACAGTTTTTATCAGGAATACTTGTTTCACAGCAAATTGCTCGTGCGGCGATTTCAATTGGCAAATTTTCTGGACATGATGTCCACTAACACAAAGAAAAGTAGTTATCAAGCATCAAAGCAACTATCGAATAATTCACTTTTCTACCCAAAACGCCTACCTTCACAATTCCTTTCATCAACCATCAGTCTTCTTCCTTTCGGACAATAACACTGGAAACCGTTCTTGGTTTGATTGCATTTGTATCCACAGCCAGCATTGGCACAGGTATGGTTGTAAACTAATGTAAGAAAAAGATTTTGATTGTTATAAACAGAAATTTTGTGGGCATGATGGCCTAATGGTAAAGCTCCTGATCTAATAATAAGTTTGATACGCCAGGGTTTCCCAAACTGGACCCCTGCGAGTCTGTGATCATTGATTTCTCTGCACCCCTCCCATATAGCGGGTGAACATGACACTAAAATTTCAAACACGCCCTCCCTAATTTTGAGGTGCGATTCCACAGTTATTCCTAACTGAAGTATAATTGTATATAGAATATGGCATATTTATCAGTGTAGATCGTTTGCCAAATATATAACACATTTTCATAAGTTACAAACAGTTTTATCGCTAAAAGAAAAATACTTAACGTCCACGATTTTGAAACAGAAGTTTTCGTGGTTTGCCATTCGCTTAAGTCAACTCATCAACTCCCCCCTGCCCCCACCCCCCAATGGCCTCCTTCATAGAGGATTATCGTGCTGCCATATAAAACTAGGATACAATGAGAGTTTTCCAAAAAGCATGAGAGGAGTATACCTACAAGGCTGCTCAATTTATGGCAAAATCATCCAGTGATCACACTCAAGTAACCAATGGAAATAACTTCCAGTTAATGGATAAGATATTTATCAAGGGGAGAGGAAAGCCGATAAGACGGCTTAACTATATGGCGAACCACGTGTAGTCCAGTTACCATTCCATGTCAGGTATGGGATTAGTTAGTTATTTGTTTTCGGAAGCATCGACTTGATGGTGGAGGAAGCCGTAACCGACCAGTGGTACATGAACCACCCTAAAGTGGCGAGATGTCCAGCAATCCTCTCGCACATAACTATCCCTGCATGGGATTCAAACCTGCGAACCCACACAGAGTGGTGACGAGCGTATTCTTAACGCTTAGCATGATGTGGCACATCTTGGTAGATGAGAAGACAGATAAATAACATACCACAGTTTTTTTCATCTGATCTGTCTACACAATCTGCATGTCCATCACATTTAGGTACGCAGTCGTACGTTCCAACCGAAGTAAGGCATCGATGCTGTAGAGAAGAAATAGAATTTATTCAACGAAAAAATAATGAAGGCGTATATGACCAAACTAAATTAATAGGTCTTCTCATATAGATCAGAAGCTGTTTTGCCAGAGTTTTGTTAGGATGACGAGTGTAAAAAATTGACGTATTCAAATTTTATGCACCAAGCATTAATGAACAACATGGCGGCTCAGCGGTGTGGCGCACTGTGCTAAGCGTTAGAAATTCGCTTACTGCAGCACTTTTGATTGAGCTGAGATGGTTTGCAGGTTCGAACGCACTGGGGAATGATAATGTGCGAGAGTATTGCTAGGTTCCTCACCACTGTAGGATGGTTCACCGCTGGTCGATTATGGCTTCCTTGACCCCCCAAGTCCATGCATCTGAAACAAATACTTATCTACTAATCCCATACCCGACATGGACTGGTAACCGGACGAGAGGCTCGCCATATAGTTAAGATGTCTTATCGGCTTTCCTTTTCCCCGGCGATGAACATGTGAATCTTTTGTAGTGTCATGCGGAATTTGTAAGATAATCAATCAAATCGGAGACTGGGATGAAGGGGCTGAGCATATTGGCTCTTCAGATTGAAGACAAAACGGTAAACGTTACAAATTTCAAAAAATGAATTTTTCAAAACCATTCACTTATCCAACAGTGAAGAGAATAGGGTGAGGCTTCGAAAAGGATAGGATCTACATATATATTCTGGGGGATAAGAAAGCCGACAACACGGCTTAACCATATGGCGAACCACGGCATCTTGCTCGATTACCAGTCCATGTCGATTATGGGATTAGTTAGCCAGTTTTTTTTTTTTTTGGATGCATGGACTTGATGGTGGAGGAAACCGTAACTGACCAGCGGTTACGTGAACCACCCTGCGGCGGTAAAGAGTCTGGCAATCTTCTTGCACCTAATTAATCCCACATGGGATTTGAACCTGCCAACCCACGCAGACTAATCAGAGGTGCGGGTGGCGAGCGTATTCCTAACGCTTAGCACAATGAGCCACACCACCCAGCTCAGTCAAACTAAGGTAGTTCCAGTCTCCCTAAGCCCAGCAAAAAGTAATAGATTGCACTGTTAGTTTTGTTGGAAGCAAAAGTGTTGAAATCCGCCCAAATACAAAACCGAGAATATCGGTCGGAGACCAAAGATTTATCGATCTAAAATTAGGGGATCCCCAAAACAGAAACTGTGGTTTCGATTCATCCGCTCTTACTTCATAGCGACACCGTGTGTCTCATCACTAATTAATTAATAACTCGCTAATTATATGACATAATTCATCCAAAATCGATAGGCTCCTGGTCCGAGATATGATGAATGCACATGCAAATTTGGAGCAGATTGAACCTCGCTTTCGTGAGATATCCAGGCATCTAACAGACAAACAAACAGACAAATACCTATCAACATAGTTACCGATCAAGATCGATAGGTAATTACTCACCCTAGGTTTTCCATCGTTTCCAAACTCGCATATGCAATGAGCTTCGTCAGAATTATCCTCACAATCCGGGTCCTGATCACACCACCAGGTGGCAAAAATACATTCCGATGTGTTCAAGCATTTTCGCTCGTTCTGAGAGCAGGTGCCGACTGTGGGAAATATGTACATGAAGTTATGGCAGTGTTAAGGAGACTTGAATGAATTACTCTACTCAGGCCACCTTTTTCAAAGACTCAATGTGAGTCATTGCTAAGAAAAGGAAATTATTATCTTGTTGCAGCAAAAACTACAACGAAAATATGTGTCAAACTAATATTTATACATTTCACTGCGTTCATTAAATCCACTATGACTGAGACTTGACTTGTGACCCAAAACAACAAAAACAATTTTTTATTTTAAAGAATTTGAGCACTCGACTCGAATTACAGGAAACTCAGCTATATGAGCAAATTATTCACTGACATCCCAAGAGGTATCAAAACTATATTAAATAATGATTGTGCATTATGCAACCTATTGTTGGTGGAGCGAGTCAAATTGAAAGTGCCGATGTATGATTTCCATATGAGGGCCTCTAGCACCTGTGGCCATACCTTTACAGTTTGCCTCGTCACTGCCGTCCATACAGTCTGGGTCGCCATCACATTTCCAACTTTTTGATATGCATTTACCCCCACCTACAGCCGAAGATGCGCCGGAGCCGCACGTAAATTCTTCCTGTGGGTTACATTCTCTTATGGTTGGTGAATTATCCTCTTCAGAACAATCTAACTCATCAGAGTTATCGACTATGAAAAAAAAGAATGATATAGAACAGTGCTCTTCAACCCAAATACAGTATACCCTATTTGCTCGTTTTGTAGCCCGGGCCCATATTTTTTAAACCAACTCACTAACCGGGCCCTTATTCAAACCGGTCCTTATTCAAGCACAGGCGCTTGTTATTTTCGTTCGTTACAATAATTAATATATTGTTATTTCCAGTTCTCAATTATGATTTAAACGAGAATAACAAAAATTTTGACTTTTTCCACGCACCGCAGGTACAAATTCGCAAAAGAAAAAAAGTTTTGCTACGTCCTATCAATATTGAAACCACGGTGCGTCGCGACGCCCAGTTTGAGAACCATGGCGTTACGTAATCAATGCTATCTGTTATGAACTTGGACGCCTAAGGCGAGAGTGTTATCTACTGGCGCTTAAAATTCAACAGCGTTGTGACGAAAGCGCTTTTTATTTCCTATTGTTCTCTACCACTGAAAAATCAGCTTTTACGTCGGGCGGGTATTCAAGCACCGGCCCTTAGTCAATTTTATGTTCTGTTCACACGGGCGGCTATTCAAACGGGCCCTTAATCAAGATCGGGCGGTAAAACGAGCATATACGCACCCAAGTGTATACCAGACCATAAGTTGGGTATACAACTGATAAAGGGTATACAAAGGGTGTACAGCCTAAGTCAAGGATTCTAAACTCTCATAAAATAAATTATAAAATATTCAAGCGAAGGCAACAATGCAAACGTGGAGGACATGAAATATAAAATGTCATTGATAATGCGGTCACGTGTCTGGCTTGGTGATTTCGGCTGCCATGCACTTCGTTTGCTTTAGAATGAACAATATTCCTGTTGACGTTAAAGCCGTCAGTCAAATTTATAACTTGCGGTCACTAGCCTATTAGATTGCATGATGATATTGCAGTACAATATGTGCTTGAAATTTTATGCTCATTTAAGCCTTAAATAAACATTGGTATTTGTAAGGTATACAAAGTTCTTGAAAATTTGTAAAAGGTATACCACGATGAAAAAGGTTGAAGAACACTGATATAGAATAGAAAATTATTGTGAGAGCAATTAGGGATTCTTCCTAGTTTCATAGCTTGATAAGATTATTTCACAGAGTGTTTTCACTTTGTTAAGGATGAATTATTTGGACATAATGGGATTTAGAATAACGCTATAAATACCACTGGAATGATAAACAGGGGGATATTAGTGCTAAAAGTCTTCGGAAAAGGGCCAAAGTCCTGAAAGGTTGGGAACTACTGACTTGGAATAAACCACAAACGAGAATATCGGTCAGAGACCGAAGACTTATCGATCGAAAGTTAGGAGATCCCCCAAAACAGCGCTCTTACTCCATAGTGACACCTTGTGTCCCATCACAAATTAATTAATTATTCGCTAATTTACGACATAATTCGCCCCAAATCAATAGGCTTCTGGTCCGAGATAAGATGAATGCACATGCAAAATCTGGAGCAGATTCAATCTCGCTTTCGTGAGATATCGCGTGCATCTAACAGACATACAGACAGACATACAGACATACATTAAGACAGACAAATACCTATCAACATACTTACCGATTAAAATTGATAAGTAATAAACATACCACAATCATTAGCTCCATCACATCTCCATCTTGATGGAATGCATTCCCAGTTTGCGCATCGGAACTCAAATGGAGATTCACATCCATAATTACAACCTGAAAATAGAAGCATTTGGGTTAGGAGTGAACAAAAAGGATTTGGTGCTCCTGAAGTATGTGCACCAAGATGTCGCATAACCTGGACCATAACCCGAGTTCAGGTTTTGCGCCATCTTGGTGCGCATACTTCAGGAGGTCCAAAACTTTTTATGCTGGTCAATGTTACCAATTAAATGGATGTTTTTGCAACCATCGTGGTGGAGCTGATATGGAGCCACTATGGCAGAGCTACTCAACTATTTTTACCGAAGATCCGCATACAAAACTTCAAAAATATTTGGGTCCAGTCTTTCCTGAAATTATATTTCGGCATCCTTAAACACGCACTTCCTCGGCCGACTAATGATTATTAGCTAATCAAGATTGTTTATCATGGCGTTATAGTTCTTTTCATATAATATTTAAATCTATAAAAGTGATTTTGTAAAAAAAAAGGTTCGGATGCGGGCCAAAAGACTGATTTGAGACTAATCTGCAAAACATCCGTTAAAGTCTGATTTGAGACTAATCTGCAAAACATCCAATAGAGTCTGATTTGAGGCTAATTTTCAAAATTTTCAATAGAGTCTGGTTTGAGGTTAATTCCCAATACACCAGTTAACGTCTGATTTGAGGCTAATTTGCAGAAGATCCCATAAAGTCTGATTTGAGTCTAATTTTCTAAGAAACATTCAAGAGATTCTGATTTTAGTCTTATTTTCTACAAACAAAAAGAGGAGTACCTGCTGAAACATCTTCATCACTGTTGTCCACACAGTCATTTTCCTCATCACATTTCCATGAGCTAGGAATACACATACCGGTATTGCATTTGAAGTCAGTTGTATTATTGCAACCAGTGAAGGCTGGAAAAAGAAGGAAATGTTAGTGTTGCAGGCACTTAAAGAATCCAGCGATCCAGAAGTGTGTGTACCGATATGGAGGTAAATAATTTTATTCGCCTACTTTACATCAAGTTGTGTAAATGGACTGAAACCTATGTGCAGGGGGTATATTCACTTGGCTAACACAGACAGTCCCTGAACTTGTAATAGAACTAAAATAGGGAAAATCAGAATAAAATTATGCCCTAACCCTAACCGTGTACACACTGTAGAAGTATGTTTTTTTTCAAATTATACGTCTTTAGTTCAGAACAAAGTTCTGTGTAAGCAAACTACCCAGTAACAAGCTACTATGGCTGGGAAGAAGTGAAATTTTTACGATTCAGACTCAACAAGTTAATTTAATACACTCGGGGTAAGGTGGTAGGCAGGGACACAACCGAGAATTTTCAAGGGGGGGTTGACATTTCTAATTGCCAAGTTAGACGGTGACAACTAGCAGACCGACCAAAAGCCGAAAAACATGGGCCCGCCCCTGGCGTACTTTGCGTACTTTGTGGAGAACAACTTGCTAATCAAGCAATGGTTCCAGGCAAACTTATTAGGCATTTAAAAACAAAACATTCCATTTATTCTGGCAAGAATAAGGATTTCTTTCAACGAATATTGAGTCAAAATAAAAAGCCAAAGCACTTTATGAAATCAACTTTCACAGTCTCGGAAAAAGCAGTAGAAGTTAGCTATCACGTTGCCAAATTAATTGCTCGACAGAAAAAGCCGCATAATATCGAAGAAGAACTCATAAAACCAGCCTGCCTAGAAGTTGTAGGATTAATGCTTGGACAGAAGGAAGCTGAAGAAGTCAGGAAAGTGTCGTTGTCCGTTCGCCAGGGGCACGCCCCTGGCGATAGGCATAAAATTTTAGCTCAGATGTGGAATCTGATATGCCACACTTTTTTGCATCATGTGAGACTCCACCCCCAAACATCTCCTTCGGGAAGTTCCATACATGGGCGATTCCCTCTGTGGAATCTTATACCAAGACAAAATTCAACGCCAATCCCAGTTTACAATAACATGATGTAAACAGGAAATCCAAAAAATCTGTTCGATTTGATAGTAATAATAATTGTGAGTTTGAATAAATTTTATTGTATGATAAATAAGAACTACAAGCACAATAAGAACTATCAATAAACAAATTTTGTTGAGCGAAATTTTTTGGACAATCTGTATATACGTCTTTTAATGGGAAAAGGGCCCTGCATAAGCACCGCTGCTAGGAAATTTCCCAATTTTGCTTACCCTAACCCAGGGGGCGGCAACCTACGGCCCGCGGGCCGGATCCGGCTCACGACGCTTCACTAAATTATAAGAACAAAACATCCGTTTTGACAAATATATTTTTTAGACTAAATTATATTATGAACTAACAATTATATATTTCACAATTACTCCTTTGATTAGCATTAATTTAATTAAAAGTTGATGCTAAGTGCAAAGGGTTCAATGTCGCTGAAAATATTCAAATGGAATCTTATGAGATGCAATGAGGAAATAAATCCATATTCTATTCGAGAGATGTATCACTGCTTGATTTTCATTATAAAAAGTACCATTCGCTCAGTTTTTCAACTTTCTAAAAATATGTGCGGCCTGCCAATGACTTGCCACCCTTAATTTGGCCCGCGAGCGACAAAAGGTTGCCGACCTCTGCCCTAACCCAATTCATTACACCCACACTTACTACAATTCGCCTCTTCATCCGATCCATCCCCACAATCGTTATCAAGATCACAGACCCATTCCTTAAGAATGCACGCGCCGTTGTCGCAAAGGAATTGAGAATCGAGGCAACTTCTTGTCCTTGAATTGCACAGTTCTGGGTCCTCATCTTCACCCCCTTTAGGACAATCTTTATCGTTGTCGCAAACCCATTGGGTGAGGATACATATACCGGCTTCTTGGCATTTGAATCGATCTTCCCCGCATGTTGAGTTTTCTGTAAATAAAAATAGTATCGTTATGGTGAAATAGTTGAATAATTCGGTTAATACAACATCTTTCAACAAATTACTCCCTTTGTCTCTCTTTTTCTCCCTTGGGTGGTGGATTGATATTTATTGAAATAATACTAAAAACTATACAATATTAGTAAAAATTAGTGAATACAAAGCGCTTTTTCAGTATTTTCACCCTAAAACAACAAAACTCTTTCTGGTAAGGGGAGCTTAACATACAATTATTATTACTATAAAATCGAGCAAAGTTTCAATTGTAATTGCTATAAAATGGAGTGAACTTTTTTGGGAACTCAATATGACAAAAACTCACGACAAGTTTCCCAATCCTCATCACTTTTATCCGAGCAATCGTTTTCTCCATCGCATTTCCATTGACTCATTATACAATGCCCGCTGTTGCAGGCAAAGTATCCTTTATCCTTGCATAGCGGAGGAGCAGTATAATTCTTTTTATCTGTAAGAATAGAGTCTATGTCATGTTGTTTCTCACTTTAAGCAGGGCTCTATACAAACTGATATGTGTTGGGGTACTATTTTGGGGAGCCATAATCTTTCTTTTTGGCAATGCAATTCATACCACACATGGTGGAGTGATGGGGGCCGAAGAGACTTCTACGTTTAAAGCCAACATAGTTGAGTCTAATGCTCTGTCCATCAGATCATCAAGTTTATCACAAGTAATGATGGACATTCAGCTAGTAATTCAACGACATTGCACGAACCTTAGAGTGGGATGACCAATGCCACTTGTTTTTTGCAGCAAATGGGTATCATGCACTCAGGCGACAGATCTATATTTGGTGTTTCGCGAGTTATGTATTAGATTAATATACAGCGTGTCTTACATAGTGAAATACAAACATTTTGTGAAATGAGAGAACCAGTTATTAGGTCGTTCAATACAAAGGAAAATTTCCCAAACTGGAGGCAGTGGCTCCTCAAGAGGGCTACAGAGCAGTTGAAGAAGGGCCACAAGGCGAAGCGCAAAACATTCTTTGCTTTTCCCTTTAAAAGAAAGCTACCCGTTCTTCCTAGTTACTTATCGATCTTGATCGGTAAGTATGTTGATAAGGTATTTGGTAAGGTAAGGTATTTGTCTGTTAGACGCACACGATATCTCACAAAAGCGAGGTTCAATCTGCTCCAGATTTTGCATGTGCATTCATCATATCTCGTACCAGAAGTTGTGGCCCGCTAGATACTTCTGTACGGCCCGCGGGTGATTTGGAAACACGCCACTTCTCCGATCTGACAATCAAAGCCGACATTGTTATGCAAGCGCGCCGCTACTCCAATCATATTCGAAATCGTGAGATTTATGTTTTGCACTAGTTTCAATAAATATCGAACTTTGAAATCGTGAAATTGGTGTCCCTTCGCGGCCCCCAAAATTCGTCGCTCGAACCCCGTTTGGGAAACCCTGATTTAGATATCTCAGTATTCAGACTGAATCACGCTAAAACAATATCGGTATACAATCTCACTCCCATTAGTGCATATTAGCAACCTATTAATAACCCCATTATTTTTTACTAGCAGTTTATGAAACTGAAGTTTCTTTTTTGTGGCAAAGTTTGCGGCCCGCCGGGCCTTCAGATTTATGCTTGCGGCCCTCGTGGTAATTTGAGTTATGCAGGCCTGCTGTGAAACATACCAACACATGTCTTCCGGTCAGACAATAACTCTCTGTTATCCGGGCATTGACAGACGTATCCCTCCCCAACAGGGACTGGAAGGCAAAGATCACTACAAGGTTTGGAAGAACATTTTGTCACCCCTTTGCGCTGGTCCAAGTCAAATACAACAGCCTGGAAAATAAAACGAAATTGTTGAAGGTGAAGTAAGTAGTTACAATAACAGACTCATGCATATTCCTGGTAATATGACGATCACCATCTCCAGATCGCATGTGGATTGTTGTCAAAGCTGAGTGATACCAAGTATAAACAAAATTAATATGCATCAGATACATTATCTTGTGTAGAAACCATGTCTCATGTTAATCTGTAATCACTAGCGAACAAATCGACACAAAATTTTTTAATGATTTAATTAGCAATTTTTTAATGATAATGACGAAAGAAAATAACAATAACAACATAATTTTGAAACGATCGTTATGGCCACTAAACGTGTCCAAAAATAGGTCAAAAATTCTTGCTTCAGTGATTCAAGTTCACTCACCCCGTATAATTGTGTATCATAAAACTGCATAACTTTAGAATCTCTCTTCGTGAGATTCTTTCCGCTATCCAGCACTCCAAGATTTAATCGCATCAGGTACCCAGTACGATATTCTGTCCAAAATAAAAATTTATTCTCCGCTCCGTCATTATAAACTGCAAGTCCAAATGGATGAACAAGATCGCCAAATTTTCCACTGTAAATAATCTGGAATGGAAATGAAATAAAATTTTATAATGCGGCGCGCCGGTGTGGCTCATCGTGCTAAGCGTTAGCGTTGATTACTCTGCGTGGATTTGCAGGTTTGAATCCCATGCAGGGATAGTTATGTGCGAGCAGATTGCTTGAGTCCTTACAGCCATTGAGTGTTTTACATAACCGCTGGTCGGTAACGGCTTCCTCCACCACCAAGTTCGCTTTCAAAAACAAATAACTGACAAACGTGAATATCAGTCAGAGACCGAAGACTTATCGATCGAAAGTTAGGGGATCCCCAAAACAGCACTCTTACTCCATAGTGACACCTTGTGTCCCATCACTAATTAATTAATAACTCGCCAATTATACGACATAATTCATCCAAAATCAATAGGCTTCTGATTCGAGATATGATGAATGCATATGCAAAATTTAGAGCGGATTCATCCTCACTTTCGCGAGATATCGCGTGTATCCAACAGACAAACAAACAAACAAACAGACAAATACCTTAAGATCGATAAGTTTTCACGTGTTTATTCTCCACATTCAAGCCAACCAGAGTAAAAAAATGGGTTACAGACAAAGAATTGAACAAATTATATGCATTTTATTTACACTATTGTAATCATCGCAAATGGTATCTAATGGAGACCAGTGCTTGTGGCCTCCAGGAAACCACTATGTGGCCCAGCACTAGGCATTCTCAAAAGAAAGCAGCTAAAAACATATAACATCAAAATTTTGTTTTGTTTGATTGTGGCAAGATCAGGCGGGGTGATTGAATCACCCAACGAGCCGTAGTTTGCTCACCCCTGCATTACTGGGTCTGAAATTAATTTAAACCCCATGTAATGAATGCGAAATTTAGTACCTTGATATAAGGCTTTATTCAACTTAAATTTAAAGCACTCTTAGAATGAATCTAAATGAAAATATAACACAAGCAAATGTTATTAAACAAGAAAACAAATAACGAATTGGTGATGCTAACAGTAAGCGGCCCAATAGTCTAATGAATAAAGTTGAATGAATTGAAATGAAAGAATTAACACACTACAGCACAGTAATGATTGGTGTCTGATTTAAAATGCTATAGCGATCATCGCTTGAGTGCACCGTATAAACAAATAGATACATTGAGTTGCATTTTCTAGTTATCACACTCCATACTATGGGCTGTGTTTGCTAATCCAGAGACCAGGGGCATCAGGTGCAGGGCAGAGAAGTTGAGGGTTTCACAGTCTGAGTTTGGTCTGTGTTTATTGCTTTTGAAGCAGGAGTCATTATTTTAAGAGCTCCCAACTCCCCAGAGTCAAATTATAATTTTCCAAAGAGCATTGAGTTTATTAAGCATACTCAATAGATAATTGTAAAAGGTAAGCACATGCCATAGTTTTTGGGATCAAAATTATGTTTTCTCAGAAATGGAATCGGACTCGACTTACAAAGCCCTGCTAAGCAGCTCACAGAAGAGGTTAATCAAGCATAACATTACAGAATTATGATGACCCACCTTCCTATCTCTGCGGTTTATATGTTGTCTTTCGATTCTGTCAAAATGTCCATCAGCCCAATATACATAATTTGTCTTGTAGTCAATTGTGAGGCCATTAGGCCATAAAATATTGGGCCCTAAAAAGAAAAAAAGTTTGAGTGTATCAACTAAAAACACTTTAGTTTACTTATAAATATGACAGAAAAATTGTGAACTCTGAAAAATTACTTGAGAGACTATGGGCAAATTTTATTAAATATTCAAAAAACATTCAAAAATCGATAGGCAATAATAACTGATAGTTTCTTTTTCATAACACGCATGTAAAACACGAAAAAAATCTGCTGAGAGCATCTGGATAACCACATACCACTGCCTGACATTGTCCTCCCCGCTCTCAAAACCCACAATTACTACTATTAAACTCACCCGAAACAAAAACATCCCTGTTAGAACCGTCCATCCAAGCTTTTTCAATCTGTCCAAACTTTCCTGGCAATTCCTGGTCTTTCCAGTCTGTCCAGAACATGATACTGAAAACAGATTAAATTAAGTTTAACCCAAAAAATTTGGCGCTCCTGAAGTATGTGAACCAAGATGACAGACATCAGAACGTAGCATTTGTACCAGGTTAAGCCATGATTCAAATTTTTCTTATTTTAGTTTTATTACAAGTTCGGGAACTAGTCAAGTGATTCCCGTAGTATTTGTACCTGGAATTATTACCCACTATGTTCCGGTGTCCACCATCTTGGTTCACATACTTCAGAAGTACCAATTTCTGTACAGACTATTGGTAAGAATAGTTGAGTAGCCCTGACCAATGCTATATTTTTGATGAAATTATCACTCCAAACAAGGCCTTGACTCAGCTGTGAACTGTGTGTTTTGTTCATTTAATTGTGCATAATCTTCGGCGCTCCGAAGTATGTGCACTAAGATGGCACACAACCTGAACCCTAACCTGGTACACATACTATGTCCAGGTTCTGCGCCATCTTGGTGTACATACTTCGGAAGCTCCTAATCTTGTTACAGCAGCGATTTTAAATTTTAAAAATATTCTTTACATTTTCGTACTTTCCTCTCCAAGAGATGAATGAACCAGATTTATTTTTTAAGGCCAAGATACACATTTGAAATACCGTCTCAAATAGTCAGTGCATTCATCTCATCAAATAAAAAAATTTAAAATTTTAAAAATAATAGTTGTACCCTTTCGCAGGATGTAAAGCAATAGTTCTGATATGAGTTACGTTCCCTTCGACTATAACTTTGCGAATGTAGTGCTTCGATTCTGAAAAATATAAATTTATATTTTTTCATTTTGTATGTATACATAGTTCTAAACAAGGCACTGGTTAGAAAGCAAGTCCTGTAGTTGTAAAGTAATATCAAATTGATCGCTGTTTCAAATTGTGTTCTAGAGGTAGGTATCTATTACGAAATGCCGAATGTTTGCCTAGTGACATAATTTTAAGACGTTTTCCATATTTTCTTGGTAAAAAAAGAATAAAATTCTGAAATGAACAATTTGGGGAAAATACTTCGGCAATCATGAAAACACCTTGATGATTATCTTATAAAACTTGAAGACTTTTTTGAATTTTTAGACTTTAGATAGAACAACAAAAGCATTTTTAAAAAAAATAGAGAAACAAAAAATTAGACTAGCTCATTGCTCACGAGTTGAATTGGATCAGTTAAATTTGCTACAGAAAGTTATAAACCATCAGATTATGCTATCCTTATTTATTTATCTATAGACTATTATCTCCTTTAAGCATCCTTGTATCAATGGCTACATACGGATCCTAAGTAGGATGTAAACAAAGAGAAAGGTATTGTAGTTCAGTACACAATACTCGCTACTGCCGTAGTGTGTGTACCAGGTTAGGGTTAGGCCACAATTTTAATCCGATTTTCCTTATTTTAGTTCTATGATGAGTTCGGGGACTGTCTGTGTTATCCAAGTGAATATACCCCCTGCCCATAGGCTTCAGCCCCTTTAGACACTTTGATGTAAAGTTGACAGACAGAATTAGTTACCTCCATATTGGTCCACATACTTCTGGAGCGCCCAATACTATGGTACTTCCTAGAAAGTAAAAATCAGCATATTCTTACCAGTAGTGTTAGTTGAATCCTGGTATCCATTTGGGTTAGTTAAATTCGCTACAGAAATAGTTTTGAATCCATCGTCCGTCCAATACAGATTACCGCTCATCCAGTCGATGGCAAGACCTTCACAAGTATGGATGCCACTGCTGAAGATAATCTGAAAACATAGTAAAGGAACATTTAGCAACATGACCCCGTAACCAGGGCACAGAGCAGTTGAAAGGGGGCCCCACTGCGAGCGCAATCTTACTTTTCACTTTACAAGAAAACTCCCAATTCTTCCTAGTTTAATTGCTTGATGAATTTATTTCACAGGGTGTTTTCATTTTGTAAATCATGAATTGTTTGAACATAATAACACTAAAATAAAACAGGGGGCAATGAGTTCACAAGAGTGCAATTTTCAAATACTTGGACATTGAAACAAGAATATTATCGAATGTTATATGAAAGCGTACCCGGTGTCATAGTAAAGTGTTACCATACATTAAAATGAAAAAGCAAAATTCTGGGTGAATTATAAAACCCCATAACACTCAAAATTTTTTCAAATAAATGACAGTGCCCTCAAAAGACTTCTGCCATCTCACGGTACTGAAAAGTTAGAAACTAATCCAAGAAAAGGGATTTTTGTACACCAACAGAAATAACAATCCTAACGATTTAAACAACAATTTTGCAAAACGCCTCATATGTAAACTTAGTGTCCAATAAATATGATGGAAGCCCATTGGAAAATGCTAGAATACCACACCTCATCTACTAAGCTCCCAATCTTCCGTTTCGCAATGACAAATCTCGTCGTGTCTGAGAAAACGACCCAGCGATCACCGGAACTATCACTGTTTATGAGATAAAAAATAAAAACGTTCAAACCAAAATCAGTTTCGATGAATATGAATCACACATAAAGTAAAAAGTTAATAGGTTACCCAACTTCAAAAAAATATTCATCATAAAACTGAACAATCTTTCAATTTACAGTGCCATGATATGAATTATAAACAAACTATACATCGGGGGGTTCCCAAGCTTTTTTCAGGACGACCCCAAGAGGAACTTTCAAGCGTCCAGTGCGACCCCAGGTCAATATATATATTTTTCATGAAACTTTAGTTTAGAATTTCTCTCACTGGACTTTTGAGTTTGGTCATGTGGTGGTATTAAGTAAAATAAGCTAAAACCAAACAGTGATGTCACAATAAGCACGTACATTTTCTATAGCTTAAGCATAGAACGATGCTTATGAGCCTGTTTTACAGTAAGCCATGATGCAAACTGCTAAATTTCACACGGTTTGTCAAATCTTAGATGATTTGTGTATTCATCCTCTACCATACCTTAGCGACCCCACCGACCCCATGACCTGTTTGCGACCCTACCTACTTATCACTCCGACCCAATTTGGGGTCGCGACCCCTGGTTTGGGAACCTCTGCTATACATTATGGACAGGGTTGTCCAAAACGAATCGAATATCAAAGTATTCGAATACCTTTTCGGCTGATTTTCGAATAATTCCGAATAATAGCCTTGATGTATTCAATATAGTGAATTATTAGAAATTGGCCGTCCCTGGTAAACTATATAAAACAAGTCAATCACTACAGATGTACTCACTTGTAATAGTCGATTGCTTTAGGATTTTGTAAGTTCTCGATCGGAACAATCGGCTCGATGGTATGTTCTGGTTTGAACATGTTGACAGCTTTTATTTCGCCTGGTCTGGTCTTCCCAATTAACAAGAATTTTTGCTCTTCTTTTGGCTCTGGAAAAAAATGGGATGATTATTCAATAAAAATTAGCCATGGTGGTATGCAAAGTCTGTGTCAATTTCTTCAATACTTTTGAAATTCACAATGGGATAAATGGGAGGGTTAATTAGATTAGAATGTTGAAAAATTCGAATCAGACTCTCAGACCCACTACAGAAGTTTCCAACTTACGTTTACATGACAATCCGTCATACTCCAAAATATACCCGGCTCTGCAAAAGCATGAAGCCTCTCTTGAACTGCTTCCAAGAAGACAAATGTGCTGGCATTTCAGTGTTTTACATGCATTTTCATTGTCTGGTACTGTAGAGAAATAAAGAAAATATAGCTTATTAAACTAAATAAAATTCCAAAAGCTTGACAGTGGGGCGCACAGTCCTTCTACAACTTAAAGATTAAAATTAGTTATGTAACAGTATGTGATTCAGAAATACATTTGTGTTAGTGTGCAGCAAGATTCTGGAATCACTTAGAATAGATCTGCATACTTTATGTATTACTGAACAAAATATGCACACTGAGGGTAGAGAGTAGGACACATTAATGTCCACGTATAAAAATATTGCAAAAAATTATGACGCAACTCTTATCACTGTGTTAATTACAACTAATGGCACATTCGGCAAGTAAATGACATGTGTTTTTGCTAACTACCACAAAACAAACGCCCTACAACAGCCATTGTTATGACATACATTCATGCGCAGATAGTAATTTATGATTTAAAAGTCAGTCAGTATTTTTTCACATACCGAAAAAACGAAAGTGTACAAACAGAAAGATAAAATTATAAATAATGTATTTCAACATGAAGAGAGACGCGATGGACCAGTAATGGCATCACCTATAAGGGAGTCTAACATAGAATCATACAAAAAAAAAAAAAGACGAATAATATTTACTAACAGAAATCGCCCTTTTAAAATGGTTAAGCGACCTTTAAAAGTGAAGTCGTTCGGAGACCATAAAAATTTGTGCGTAGGCTGCAGTTTGCCAACAACTGACTTAGAACAGTTACCTGGAGGTTGTTTAGTACCATGTACTATATGTAAACTGCCAGGCTGCTTCAAGCCTTTATAAAGAGTCGTAACTTTAGTTTTTGTTAGTCGTAGAGATGGCGCTCCACCGTTCCATACGTTCACCTTTACAATGCTGTGGTTTTGCCAGTTGGTCGCATATAGGTAACCTGAATAGAAGGAAATAACTTGATTATTGATGCCTAAAATGATTACATATGCTTGGAATATTTTTTCATGAAAATTTCTGAAAGCAAAGTCATGTGCACTCACATAAAAATTAAGGAGACTCATCTCTGAGCGAAATTATGACGACCATGAAAATCCAAGAAGCTACTAAAACTATTACAGTGCATACACCGTATATGCTCATTTCACCGCCTATATTGACTTGGTTTAAATAGCCGCATGTGTGAACAGAACATAAATTAAATAAGGCCGGTGCTTGAATACCCGCCCGGTGTAAAAGCTGATTTTTCAGTGGTAGAGAACATTAGGAAATAAGAAGCCCTTTTGTCACAACGCTGTTGAATTTTAAGCGCCGGTAGATAACACTCACGCCTTAGGCGTCCAATTACATGACAGATAGCATTGATTACGTAACACCATGGTTCTCAAACTAGGCGCCGCGACGCCCAAGTGCGTCGTTTCAATATTGATAGGGCGTCGTACAACTTTTCTTCTTTTGCGAATTTGTACCTGCGGTGCGTAGAAAAAGTCAAAATTTTCTTTACTCTCGTTTAAATCATACTTGAGAACTGGAAATAACAATATATTAATTATTGTAATGATCGAAAAAAACAAGCGCCCGTGCTTGAATAAGGGCCGGTTTGAATAAGGGCTCGGTTAGTGAGTTGGTTGAAAAAAATATGGGCCCGGGCTATAAAAACGAGCAATTTCGGTATGTATATTTCTAAAACCTGATACCTAACAAAAATGACTGCATCGTTTTATATACCGGTAGTCATCTACATGTATAGTCTTAGCCATTCGTATTATAAGAGACGAGTCTTTTTTACATCGGAGTAAATGCCCGTAATGTACTGCTATGATAATATAGGTCTCTTGGCATTTAAGAGTTTTCTTTTAAATTTGCTCAGAGATAAGTGTCCTTTAGTTTAATATTTTTTTTAATGAAATCTGCCTAAAGCAAAGTCACAAGCACTCACATAAAAATTAAGGACACTCATCTCTGAGTAAAATACAGTACAGTGATCTCAGTATACATAGTGTCTCAGTATACATAGCCTCTAAAGTTGATCAGAGATGAGTGTCCTTTATTTTTAAGATAGAGATATATTTAGTTCCGCAAAACAATGTAAAAAAATATCGGGAATTTTGTATAGACTGAGTGCATGTAACTTGTGCATGTAAAGAGTTTAAAGAGGTTTGACCCCCAGAATCGGTGGAAATTTTAAAAACATAATAAAATTGACACCCACCATCAAAGTATGTGATCCTATGTAAGTTCTGCATACTTTCAGATTCAACAATCAGTTTCCTATTCTTTCCATCATAGTCAATGGATTCCACATAATCTAGAAAAAATTAATAAACAAATCAAAGATTATAAACTGCTGGTGGGCAAGGCCGAACCAGAAATATATTAGGATGTTCCACAACTCTTTACATTTCAGTACCTTAGCCATGTTCATCTAAGTCAGGGGTCAGCAACCTTTCGTCGCACGCGGGCCAAAATAAAGGTTGCAAGTCATTGGCGGGCCGCACATATTTTTAGAATGGTAAAAATCGAATGGATGACCTATGAATCACATTTTATCACACGGATCAGAAGTTAAATTTTAAGCAGCGCACGAAGACTGACCATTTGAATATTTTTTGCGCCATTAAACCATTTGCACTTAGCATCAACTTTTCTGCGTTTTGTTGTCATTTGTCTGAATTATAATTAAATTATAGGCTCATTAAACGAGTAATTGTGAATTATACACTTGTTACGTTATAATATAATTTAGTCTATGCATAAATTCTTTTGCGTAAAGAATATAATCGCCAAAACAGCTATAATTTGTTACAATAATTCAGTGAAGCGTCGCGGGCCGGATTATATTGCTCCGCGGGCCGTAGGTTGCCGACGTAAGTGAATAAACATAATAAGGGGCTCCCGAAGTATGCGAACCAAGATGGCGGACATCGGAACGTAACATGGGTAACAGGTTAGGGTGAGGCGATAATTTTTTTCCAATTTTCCTTATTTTAGTCCCATTATGAGTTCGAAGACTAGCCAAGAGCCGGTGCTCCCAAGAGCCGGTGCTCCCGAAGTATGCGAACCAAGATGGCGGACATCGGAACGTAACCTGGGTAACAGGTTAGGGTTAGGCGATAATTTCTTTCCAATTTTCCTTATTTTAGTCCTATTATCAGTTCGAAGACTAGCCAAGAGCCTCCCGTAGTATTTATACCTAAAATTATGGCCTAACCATAACCTAGTACACATATTACATTCCGATGTCCGCCATCTTGGTTCGCATACTCCGGGAGCCCCCATAATAAATTTGAGTGTCAAGAACTAAATCTTCAAGAACCGCAACATTTTAGACTGGAATTTTTTGGCTGACTATCGAATTTTTCGAGTACCGAGATTAGACTACCTACACTGTATCTTTTTCACTTAGCTTTTTAAAGCCAAGGACCTCAACTCAGCAAATATATTATAATGAATAAACAGTAACATCTTACTAATATGAGCATCAACGTAATATATTCGTTTCCCAAATAGATCAAGAGTGACACCGAGTGGTAGAACAATTTTCATTATGACGAGTTGCTTCCGTTCTGCTCCATTCATGTTTATTCTCTCTAATTTCGGAGCGGTTCCATGATCAGTGAAAAAGATTTTACTAAAAAAAATATAAAAAAAAGATGTCATTCACATTCAAAAGAAAAAAACAGGAGAAAAGGGAACAAGCAAAAAATTGTGAGAAGGATTTTTCTATCTATCACAGGGTAGAAAAAGAACTATAACATGAATTATGAATTTGCCAAACCACGACCCCTCGTCCAGGTACCAATTCATGTCTGATATGAGGAAAGTTGACTATTAATTTGTTTCAATTTCGTGGAAGTTGAAGAGACTGATGAAAAAGAGATAAACTACCTTAAATAATATGAACAGGAAAGAAAAAGGGAGTGAAAACACCCTTTATACATAAAATGTGGAGGAAAACTAAGTCTGTTCACATGTACACTTTTCCAAGGAACACTGCATTGAAAAATCTTCAGCAAAACTGGTATAGAGAATCTTCGGGGAACACTGATTTGAAAAATCTTCGGGGAACACATATATACGTGAAATGTGGAGGAAAACAGTCTGTTGAGAGATATCTTCCCAAATGAACGGCAATCCTAATTTAACATGATAGATTAATTTGCTGATACTCACCCTTCCTTTGGATCAAGAGCGATACCAGTTGGGTTATTCAGGTTCGAGCTAAGAATCGTTACGCATGTCTTCCCCGTTGAATCACAAACAAATAAGCGGTTGTCAATGTCATCAAGAAAATAAAAGTTCCCTGTAACCCAGTCGAAGGCAATCTGTTCTACATCTGCAAATAAATTAATAGTGAAGTTCAATTGATTGCAGGTTAAACAATCTTTGGGAACACTGGCACGAAAAATATTTGGGAACACTGAGTCGAAAAATTTTCGGGAACACTGGTTTGAAAAATCTTTAGGAACACTAACTCAAAAAGTTTCGGGGAACACTGATTAATAAAATCTTTGGGAACACTAATGTAAGGGGAACACTGGTTTAGGAAATCTTTGGGGAAAACTTGTTGGGCAATCTTTGAACACAAGTTTAATAAAATCAGATGGGAACACTAGTTTGAAAATCCTCGGAAACCCTGATTTCAAAAATCAAGTTGGGAACACTGATGTAAAAAATATCATTAAACTGAAAACATTAATGTGAAAAAAAAAACCTAAAATTATCTACAATGAGATTACTAGAAGACAATACCGAAAAAAATTTCCACTTCTACTATTCCAAGATTTTTTATGAAAAATACTGTTAATACTATTAAGTTACCCAAGCAAAAAAAAAAATGTTGAATACAATAACAAACTCTCACTTTGCACAGAGTATAATAAGGGTATCTTCTTTGTGCTTCTTAGTTTATTCAACGGAGCACACACAAAGAAGCTTTCCGATACATCCCTGTATCGATCAATCCAACAGGCTCTCTTCCCTGCAACATCAGTCACCATAGCAAGCGAAGTATGTGTTCCTCGAATTGCTGTAGAAGGTATTACTTGACCAGTGAGAGAAATTCCCTGTCATTGAAAAAAAATTTTACTGTTTGAGATCGCAAAGTAGAAAAGAAAGTAAACTACATTTTGGCTCAATCACCAGCACAACGGGTGATAAAAATAATTAGTAAAAACGAATTCGAGAATCAAAATAGCGAAAAAAGGCTGAAAAATGGTAATCCCGAAGTATGTGACCCAAGATGGCGGACACCGGAACATAGTCTGTGTACCAGGTTAGGGTTAGGCCATAATTTATTCCAATTTTTCTTATTTTAGTTCTATTACGAGTTTGGGAACTAGCCAAGTGACTCCTGTAGTATTTGTACCTGAAATTATGGCCTAACCCTAACCATACTACGTTCCGGTGTCTGTCATCTTCGGTCACATACTTCGGAAGTATCAAAAAATGTACACTATTTGACTTTTTGCATAACAGTAATGATGTATAAACGACACAATTTTAGGATTACCTGACTTTTAATAATAACTGTAGAAACAAGTCAAAATAATCTTTTTTGAATATTATAAATACGTGAATCTTTTTATGTTGAATATAACCCAATTTAGAATAAATTCGATAGATTCCAAATAATATGCTCGAACAACGCTGGTTTAGAGCAGGGCTCTTTAAATTGGGCGACCCGACACATCAGTAGGTCGCAAAAGGGCTCAAACGGAGTCGGTTTGTTTCAAGAACATTATTGGACACGTAGTGGACATAACGATCGTTTCAATATTATGTTGTTGTTGTTCTTGTTCTTTGACACGTTTTTAAAAAGTCGCTTTTCTCTTCGAATACTGGACCAATTGCTTTGAAATTTTCAGTGGTTAAAGATTAATTTTTTCGCTAGAAGGCTATTACTTTTATTTATTTCAAAATTTTGCGTGAATTCTATGAAATTTGATATTTCGTCAAAAATTTTGCTGTATTATTTTTTATCCATGGGAGCACGGATTTTAGTCAGTGTCATGACTGGCTGTACGTTTTGATTCTGCAAAATTCTTGCTACTGGAAATTCAGAACTTTTTTGAGGGTACCGGTAGCGTCAAAGGTACCGGTAAGGACTGATTCGCTCTGGTCTAACGTGTCCATATATTTGTGCGTAGCTCTCTTGTTGAAGTATTGACATGCTAACAGTTTATATAAACATCGATGAATATTCAAGCAAAACAGTATGTATAATAAGAGTTATTGTCAATTTTTTCATTGTTTTCAAATATTTTCTGCGTTATTAAATATTACTTTATTTTTATTTTAGTTCCTGAGGATCGCAAAAAAATTGGTGATAGGGTCATGATGAAAAAAAGTCTATGAAAAATCGACAATAAGTTCTTTCAAGCTATAAAACTTGTAAAAACAGATCCCAAAGCCAAAATCCACCCACAGAAACATGTTCACCATGTTTCAGGTTTAAAATTAACCCATTTTGACAACGCCTACTTTAATATTTATAGATATTGACTAAAACATTCAATAAGTGTCAGAGCTAATGTATCTAAGATGGTATAGTATCGATCGAATGTTCAATAATCCGCCATTCAGCTGCCGAATGCAAACTGATATCGCGGTACTTTAATCCTGAAGACGCCAATCAAGGTAATTGCGTTTGCTCTTAATAAAGATCTGGACAAGAAGCTATTTATATATATATTTGCAGGGCTGCAAAAAAGTCCTGATTTATAAGATTTGTCCTTACTTCGAAGGTCTTTCTCTTAAAATTATTTTGTCCGTATTTCTAAGAATGTCCTTATTTTGGACATGTTTCATTATTTTTGTTAGGTTTTTATTCCTCCAGCATTTCAGCTTGTGTTAATTCAGACTACATAACCAGTTGAGAATCAATCAATAATAAATACCAAATACTAGAACAATTACTGATTAAAAAACATCAAACCTGATTAATATATGTTGAGAACTGACTTCATAACAAAATTTAAAATTGTAAAAGGGACTTTATGGACACCTTGTATCTCCACTGCCTTCTTATTGTTTAGAGATTTGGATTTTGAATTACGTATTTATCCCGGAGTGAGGAAAGCTGAGAAGGATGGCTTAACCATCGACGCATGAAATCAAAATTGGGCTAAGTCCATTTTTCTAGTTTTGAGAAAAATGCAAAAAACATTTTTTTTTGTTTCTTTTTTTTATTTCTCTAATACCTTACATCGAAGATGTGTAGTTTTTATGGTCCACCAAAGTTACAATGAAGGCCATATTTAAATGGTATAAAAAAATTTGTGCTCCGCCCCAATTTTTTGGGGGGGGGGGGGGGTTGGACTTAACCCTTTTTGGCTCTCAATTTTCTGGACCAGAAACAATTTTATTGGACTTAGGGCCCCTTTATTTTGTTATTATAGAGGCTGGTATGGACTTAGCGCTTTGTATTATATTTTTTGAGAGGAGCTGTGTCCAAAAAACGGACTTAGCCCCAACTTACAATGCAGTTATCCAGAGCTAAGTCCACTATAGTATCCACAGCTCTGTTTAGTTCTCAAATGCCCTAAAAAAAGCAGGGTTATGTGACGTCCATAGCTGTCTTGAGATCTAGAGCACCTAGAGATAAGGCAAATAGACCAAAATGTAGAGCTAAGTCCAGGAAAATCAGCAATTAAAAAATGTCATTTTTTGGAAAAGTGGACTTAGCACTGTTTGGTTTTGAGGTGTCGATATGGCGAACCACACCTATGTGGGTGTTTACTAGTCTATTTGGGATATGAGGATAGTTATTGTTACCGGACAATATTAACCAATAGCAACGCTTTTTGTTTTTGTGATGCAGTGTCTAACAAACACTTAATCATATTATATGATTTTTTCTATTCTTCCCTGGGGAAAGAAAGTTGGTTAGATGGCCAATCAGAGAAAACTCGTAAGCCTGTTTCACTCTGAAGCAGTACTGTACTGTTAACTTATGTTTTCATTTACATTTTTGGGTGCTCCCGAAGTATGCAAACCAAGATGGCGGACATCGGAACGTAACATGGGTAACAGGTTAGGGTTAAGCAATAATTTTTTTTCAATTTTCCTTATTTTAGTCTTATTATCAGTTCGAAGACTAGCCAAGAGCCTCCCGTAGTATTTATACCTAAAATTATGGCCTAACCCTAACCTAGTACACATATTACATTCCGATGTCCGCCATCTTGGTTCGCATACTTCGGGAGCCCCCATTTTTGTCCATTAAAGGTCTGAAAAACCCACTCCTAACCGCGAGAAATTTAAAACTTCAAACTCTAGCAACACAGACACAACAGTTAAGGCATACAAAGCCAAAAATAAGGGTGCTCACAAAGTATGTACGCCAAGATGGCGCACAACCTGAACATAGTATGTGTACCCGGTAAGGCTTCAGGTTGTGCGCCATCTTGGTGCACATACTTACAGAGCGACAAAGTAATTACTCACTTCTACAGAGGTGGCTGTTGCAACCAGGATATACGCTGAGCTTGCCTTGTTAACTTTGCAATGGCTCGGCACTGAGACTGAAACTCCCGAAACAGAGAGCGAAACACCGGTTTCTAGAGTAAATCCAGGAGCACACGAGCACTTATACGTCAGCAACGGACCATCAGTGCAAGTTTGCTCGCACACGTCGTGTTCTTCGCACATATTTATGTCTGAAATAAGAGTTTATGATAATTTAAAAAACAGAATTATTGAGGTTTCAGTTTTTGAAATTTTGTTACTGTATATCCTCGCATATAACTGAGTTTGAAACTCAAAAAAAAATTTTCCAAACTAAGGGGTCGGCTTATATGCGCATAGCTCTGATCGGACTAACAATTCAGCTTATACACGCATGACTCTGATGACACCAAGTGTCGTCTTATACGTGAGTAACTTTGATCGAACTAACAATTCAGCTTATACACGCATGACTCTGATCACACTAAGTGTCGTCTTATACGTGAGTAACTCTGATCGAACTAACAATTCAGCTTATGCACGCATGACTCTGATCACACTAAGTGTCGTCTTATACGTGAGTAACTCTGATCGAACTAACAATTCAGCTTATACACGCATGACTCTGATCACACTAAGTGTCGTCTTACACGTGAGTAACTCTGATCGGACTAACAATTCAGCTTATACACGCATGACTCTGATCACACTAAGTGTCGTCTTACACGTGAGTAACTCTGATCGAACTAACAATTCAGCTTATACACGCATGACTCTGATCACACTAAGTGTCGTCTTACACGTGAGTAACTCTGATCGGACTAACAATTCAGCTTATACACGCATGACTCTGATCACACTAAGTGTCGTCTTACACGTGAGTAACTCTGATCGAACTAACAATTCAGCTTATACACGCATGACTCTGATCACACTAAGTGTCGTCTTACACGTGAGTAACTCTGATCGAACTAACAATTCAGCTTATACACGCATGACTCTGATCACACTAAGTGTCGTCTTACACGTGAGTAACTCTGATCGGACTAACAATTCAGCTTATACACGCATGACTCTGATCACACTAAGTGTCGTCTTACACGTGAGTAACTCTGATCGGACTAACAATTCAGCTCATACACGCATGACTCTGATCGCACTAAGTGTCGTCTTATACGTGAGTAACTTTGATCGCACTAAAAATTCAGCTTATACACGCATGACTCTGAACTGGAAAGATCTTTTTAAGGAGTTTAAGGATAGTGAAAATGAACTGAAGGATTCTGAGACACTTCTTACCGTTATTATTAATATAAAAGTAAAACATAACAATAATGGTTATCATATGACATATCCATTAATTCTCTATTTTCTGTGATAGGTGCGTACAGAAAGGGAAAGGGCAACTCAACTGGCAGACCTCAGTCTGAATCTGGACCTCTCGATTCGGACCGCATCTGGTTATTTTTATTTTGGGAGGATTGTCCCCATTTAACTTTGAATATGTAAAAGGATGTGGAATATATAGCAGTTACTCAGTTTTCCACAACTCACGTTTCCTTAATTTTTTAACCGAAAAGATAGAGTCACTAAAATTTAGTTAGGTGCAGTGTGAAATACCTTTTCTGGCCAGACTGTACCCCAAGATTTTTCAAGTTTAGTATTCGGAACTTTAGCAAAAATAGTTGAGTGGCCCTGATATAGGATGTACGATACACTAATGTCTGCACCCATGTTCTACCTAACTCACCCAATCACCCCGACTGTTTTTACCCAAATTATTTCAAGTGTTAGTCTTATTGTAATATCTGCAGCAACGACCCAGAAGGGAAATTTTTACCTACCCCCAGTGGGTCGCAAAAAAGCTCAATGGGGGACGCGATAAAATATTTTTCGACACTAACTTGTGTTAAAACAAAATATCAATCAAATTTGAAAAATTTGAAACCAGTACTGAGACCCACCATCACCGAAATCGAGCCAAGATTCGATCTTATGTGCGATAATATGCAAGCGCATCAGTATCGTTAGAACCACTGGTTCAACGAAGTATGTGAACCAGGATGGTGGACACCGGAATGTAGTATGTGTACCAGGTTAGGGTTAGGCCATAATTTTATTCCAATTTTCTTTATTTTAGTTCGGGGACTAGCCAAGTGACTCCCGTAGTATTTGTACCTGAAATTATGGCCTAACCCTAACCAGGTACACATACTACGATACGGTGTCCGCCACACTTTTGAACACATAGTACACTCACCAACACATGTTCTATTATCCAAAGGATTCAGCTTCTGTCCTTCTCCACAATAGCAAGTGTACTGATATTCTGCATTGTCGTCGATTTGATCAATGTATGGTCGAACAGTGCAAAATGACTGGCATTTCTTGCAGAACTCAGGCTGCCTCACACCAGGCAAGAGAACCTCTGAAAATAAAACAAAAAGTTATTTGTATTTTTGGATTCAAAATGTTTTTCCATTTTAATTTTATTGTGTTAATCGCCTAGCTCGCATAGCTAACAATAAGCTACAAATAACAGATAGTAGGGCGACAGTAGGTTTTATTTAAAAAACACGATGAAAATATGTGTACATAATTAAAAAATTTAAAATAAAGAAATGTAAATATTCAAAATAAGGCAGGCAAGATTAAATCTAACAAATATTTTAATTTTTAATTAGCTTCATGCCCCCTCAAAAAATTGTCTAGGCTCTCCCTTCCCCCCCCCCCTCTTTGTGGGGCTCGCGCAGACCAATACCACCCAAGATTCTATCTATTGTGCGTAAACATACAAGCATATCATTGGAAGGATTGTTGTTTTTATTATTTTTCTTAATATTTCTGTATTAATAAATTTTAATTTATTTCACTTTTAATTTTTGGGGAGGTACGAAAAAATTTAGCCGTGCCAAGTGGGTTGTGATGGAAAAAGTTTCAAAATAACTGCTATAAAGAATACCTGAACATTGCTAGGCACATCAGTCTAATTAAAAAAATTGTCAATTTTTTTTTCAATGTTTTCTGTATTATTAAATTTTACGCTAAATTTGAAGAACACTGCTATAAAGAATACCTGAGCAATGATTCCCTTCATCCGATCCATCAGGGCATTCAACTCTTCCGTTGCACATTTGACTGAACTTGACACAAACGGAGGCGTCGCTGTAGCAGTTATCTTCATCAACCTTGCATTTGGCTTTGCCTGGTTAAACAAATCAAAAAATTAAAGAAAGGAACGTCTGTCAAAAGGCTGATATAACTGAACAAAATCTGAGCCCAAGTCGATTAAACTGAAGTTCTTTTCAACTAAAAGTGATGAAATTGAATTAACGCATTAGAATAATTTGGCAAACTTGGCACCATCGCCGAGCTATCTGAAGATGTTGATACTCGCATGGGGTTTTTCCAAAGAAAGGAGGAAATTTCTAATTGCCAGGTTGGACTGTAAAAGCCAGCAGGTAAAAGCGCGAGTTTCAAGAGACATGATGGTCTAAAAGTTTTCAAGCAACGAAAAATTAGAAATTTGATATGTATAATACTAAAAAATAGGTGCTCCAGAAGTATGCGAACCAAGATGGCGGACATCGGAACGTAACATGGGTAACAGGTTAGGGTTAGGCGATAATTTTTTTTCCAATTTTCCTTATTTTAGTCCTATTATCAGTTCGAAGACTAGCCAAGAGCCTCCCGTAGTATTTATACCTAAAATTATGGCCTAACCCTAACCTAGTACACATATTACATTCCGATGTCCGCCATCTTGGTTCGCATACTTCGGGAGCCCAAAAAAAATTGTAACATTTTAAAAAGGGGGTCCCAACCTTCCCCACCCCCCTGGCTACACCCCTGTATAGATTGGTTCTTGCGACAGCTAACAAGAACCCTTGGAACAGTGGTTCCCAACCTTTTATAGCCTGTGGCCCCGTTCAGACTGTTATTGGCCCTCGTGGCCCCGTTCAGGCTGCTATTGGCCCTCATGGCCCCGTTTATCATTCCAGTGTATATGATTGGTGAATTCCTAATCTCATATTGTTCAAACAATTCATGCTCAACAAAGTGAAAACACTATGTGAAATAACCTTATCACCAATGAAACTAGGAAGATGGAGAGTTAACTTGCTCATAGAGAATAGTAAAGTCAGTTTTGCACCTAGCATGGTGGCCCCTATCAAATGCTCTGTGCACCCCTATGTAGGTCATAGGCCCCTGGTTGAGATCCGCTGCCCTAGAACAATTCAAGCCATTACTAAATAAGATAAAATAAAAATTTTGTATTCAACAGTTAAGTATGATGGCTTAGTAATTGGTAAATCAAGATTATTGGGTACTCCTGAAGTATGTGAAACCAAGATTTCAGACACCGATACGTAGTATGTGTACCAGGTTAGGGTTAGGCCATAATTTCAGGTACAAATACTACGGGAGTCACTTGGCTAGTCCCCGAACTCGTAATAGAACTAAAATAAGGAAAACCGGAATAAAATTATGGCCTAACCCTAACCTGGCACACATACTACATCCTGGTGTTCGCCATCATGGTTTAAATACTTCGGCATTACTGACCTCAAGTAAAACTGCCGAGCAACCAGTCCTGACCCAAATCAGTAATTACTAAAACGACCATGAATGCGAACATCAGATTCTGCTACATCAAAATAAATCCTTGATTTACTGTTTATTAAACGTACTATATCAAATAATATTCCCGATATTAGAAATAATTTAATGAAATTATTTCACTGTTAAATTTTCACGTTGAGCAATTCATTTTTGTCAAGCCTATCCCAATCAGTTCAAATAACCAAATCCCTACAAATGCAAACATCGGTTTCTGATACACCAAAACAAATCTTGACAACATAGCTAGCTATTTAATTACCACTTAGACTGAGTCTACAAAGCACAAGTTGAACGACTGATAACGCTCAAAAAACGAATGAAATACTGTATTTACTCTAGTATTTTAGTACTGTATTTATCTGAAACCTTTCTTTCAATAAAATATCTACATGTAGCAATAATAGAAACCAAAAGGTAAGAAGTTTTTGTAAACACATTAATTTTTTTTCACACAACAATCTTATAAACCAGCAGTGGCCAGTTATTTTTCTAAGTGGGCCAGTTACAGGTAATAGACTTGATTACTGAAGGCTCAAAACTCGATATAAAAAACTTTGAATAAAAAACAGTTTATTTATAACAGCTATAGTTCAACAACTTGGCTAACGTTTATATAATAATAATAAGCACAATGTAAGCACAATCGAGGGTCATTATGACGGTATTTTCATCGATATTCTCAGGAATCTCAGCAGGAATTCATATCCATAAAAACTATAGTCGTAATGTTAGCCGACACAGGTGGGCCGGATATAACACGTTGATAGGTCGGATCTGGTCCGCGGACCGTAATTCGCGCGGCCTTGTTAGAAAACACATAGTTTTTAGAAAATAAATTTATGAATGAACAGGATGGGTATATTGACTTAATTTTAGCCGACACAGGTGGGCCGGATATAACACGTTGATAGGTCGGATCTGGTCTGCGGACCGTAATTCGCCCGGCCTTGTTAGAAAACACATAGTTTTTAGAAAATAAATTTATGAATGAACAGGATGGATATATTGACTTACAAATTCATTTCGACAATTATTCAAGACCACCCATCAAGTCTAACGATGCTTCATGTCAGCTTACAGTGAAATTGGCCTAAATTCCTGTGGGTTCATGTAATGACAAATTATACAGTGCGGTTACCATTTCCGAGTCTGGATGGATTCACAATTTAAGTTCATTCTTTGGAATTTTAATGGTATTTAGTGGTGTTCTGTTCTTATTTCAAATATCCATGACCAAACCGTTCCTTGTTCAAATATCTTATTCATGACTAAATCACATTGTGAACTAAGAATAAAACAGAACCCCGGTCGTTTGGAACATATTCAAGAGATAACATAACTTTAGTTCAAAGTCCCCTCTATCACTGAAACTTTAAGGTACAATCGAACACAACTTTTTTCATTTTTTCTAAGTAATTAAGAAATTTATGGGTTTTGTTTTTTGACTCTCTGTGCTATGATTTAATTAAATTCCTTTAATAATGTCGATCGGTGTTTACTAACGTTTAATTCTTTGTATTCTCAGTAGCTCTTACCACTTGTCCGGCGGTGTCCCGCAATTTCACACAAAGATTAGTCTCCCCTCGCTTTAATTAATAAGCAAACGTTTTATAAAAAAAAAACACAAACCGTGATTCGAAATATCACTTCAAGAGCAGACAAACGATTCATACAGTACACGCCAGGAAAATAAATTATTAACTGATATTTCTTTACAAATAAAGCTATTTCACAGGAGATACACTGTTTAAATTTCTGACTTGAGTTAGGTACATTAGTTTCAATTCAAGATGAAATAACACGGGCATCACTCCCTGTTTGATAGAGTTACACTGTTTACACTGTGCTTTTATGGCACAATGTAGACAGCAATTTCGAATTCAAAGCAGTTATACAAGACTACTGTCAATCAGGTAGAATGTTATATATAAAGACTTGTTTTTTTATGCCCAAGCCTAAATGTGTATACATGTGTTGTGTAATGGGTTTTGCCTTGGCAATACAACTAACATGACCAAAGTACCACATTTGTATAAATATATGCCAGAGTTCCAGAGGTTGCACTTCTTACAGAAACAAAATAGTTCTATCAATTATTAGCGATAGAAAAATTGTACGTGCAACGACTTACTGGCTAAAGCCATGTTTACAAAAGTCGGGGGCCAAAATTAGTAGCGAAAGAATATTCGCCAGTCGAGAGTGGGGAGCACCCGCAAGGGCCGATACCAACAGGTATAATTGAGCTACCAGTACATTCGGATTGATACGAATATACATGTGCTTAAACTTTGGTAATGACGTAACAAATGGCGGTCTCTAGAACGCAAAAATGTAAAAACATGAAGTGTTGAACAATTTTGGCGAGCCATATTAAATCATTAAATGAGCCGTAATAGGCCCGCAGGTCGCAATATGGAAACCACTGGGCTAAAAAGTCAGACTTAGCTGTGCTAGTATCATAGAATACAAATCTCCATTCAAATCCCATGTCCAAAGTGTCACTTAGGGTGTACCATAATAAATTGAGCAGGCAATGCTAAGCTGAAAAATTTCGACCATACAAAAAAGATAGTTTTTTACACACTGTTAGATATCAGTGGCTGTTTGTATAGGGCATTGTTTAGAGAAAACAGCAGGAATTAGCATTCTATGAGAAAATCCATTCCAATCTGAATTAATCTTTGGCACTCCAATACCAATATCTACGTTGATACTCGGAGCAGATTAATAAAGGTCAAGTGTGTTATATTACACTAAATGTCGCCACTCTCTGGCCACAAGTGCTTCTAAGTAGGTGATGATATTATTAAATAATGTTATTTGAGGCAGTATGGGAAAATAGTTTGAATTTATTTAATAGAATTGCAGAATAAATGAAACAGTTAGTTTAGCATTTGATTATTTATTTAGGATGTCCCTGTCCGTGTGTTACGAAAATATATCTCTAAATATCAACTGTGATTTTGTGCCTCAACACAGGTCATTTTCAAATATCTGATGGTTTTAGAATTGAATCTAAGTAGGTGGTAATAATAAATAATGTTATTTGAGGCAGAATGACAAAATGGATTGAATATATAAGACAGGATACTAATGGTATATTCTATGATACACGGTGATCCAGAAAAACAAAACTGTCTGTTACTGCTATGGTGTCTTACATGTCTTAATTAGGAAGTGCTTGACTCTTACAATAAAATAGTGTTGCGGAATGGAAACTTGGTGCTTGTTTATAAAGATCTAAAGGCAGGATACACTACAAAAACCCAAACCATTAGAAACATATCCTAGAGCAGTGTTTTTCAACCTTTTTCGAGCCAAGGCACACTTTTTTAAGTGAGAAAATCCAGCGGCACACCACCAGCTGAAAATATGGGGAAAAGACCTAATATTCACAATATAAGTGTTATATTGTTAATATAATATTTTTAACATTGAAGAAAGATGTTGAATAGGACATCCTGAATAGTAATCAAATAAAAACAAAGACAAAAAAAAATCGCCACCAGATGCTGCCACGGTCTGATATAGAACAGTACTACATGATTACTCTGTCGGACGCTACATCGCATATACACACAACTTGGAGAATTTCCCACGGCACCCCTGACAATATTTAACGGCACACCGGTGTGCCGCGGCACCTCGGTTGAAAAACACTGTCCTAGAGGGAACATATTAACTTCTAGATTACTGGAACTTTTGGGTACAGTCAAACACAAATACAAGTTCATGGATAAAAAAAACTTTGGACATAGTTCATTATTGTCTTGTATGTACATTTACTGTAAACGGGTAAGAGTTCAACAGAATCAGAATAACCTCTGATAACTCTAGCACATTTCTGCTTTATCGAATCAAATCTTCATGAACATATCAACATACAATGAATATTGACAAGGCAAACACTTGTATGTGTACACACATTGGAGTTTTATGTTTAAATTAAATAACCTTCATTTTCATAATCCACTATTTCAAATACATTCTATGCAGTGGTTCGCAACCTTTCAGGCCTTGTGGCCCCTTGTTTATTATTCCAGTGGTATTTATAGTGTTATTTTGATTGGTAGATTCCAAATCCCATTATGTTCAAACAATTCATGCTCAACAAAGTGAAAACAACCTGTGAAGTGTTAACCTTATCAAGCAATGAAACTAAGAAAAACAGGGAGTTTTCTTCTCAAACGAAAAGTAAAATCAGTGTTGCGGATAGCATGCTTATCTGAGGAAGTCTGATTTTGGTTAGACGAAATGTTACAGAAATACATTTGTGTTAGTGTGCAGCAGGACTCATGAATCACATAAGATAGTTGCATTTATTAATAATTCAAATTATTTATGTCTACTGCCTGCTGTAAAACATTAATATTTATGATTCTGTGCAACCAAATACATTCATTGGTCATAATTATGTTTAAAACTATTAAAAGTATCAAAAAATTTCATATTCTTCATCTTAAACAGGTTCTGTATTTAGACATAATTTGGAATATTATTGATTTCTACTGTTTACAGATATATTCTACACAAGAAAATCACACATATTCAAACTAAATGTAACATGTAATATTTTACAGAGTGTAAGACAAGGCCATAGACAAGTGATTTTAGACTGGGATGGTGTGACTTCCCCCTGATAACAAAGCGCTCACGTAGTATGTGAACCAAGATAGCGACACCGTAATGTAGTATGTGTACCAGGTTAGGGTTAGGCTATAATTTTATTCCAATTTTTAATTATTTTATTCTATTACAAGTTCGAGGACTAGCCAATTGACTCCTGTAGTATTTGTACCTGAAATGATGACCTAACCTGTTACACATACTACGTTCCGGTGTCCACCATCTTGGTTCACATACTACATGAGTACTGTAGCAAAACAATGATGAAATCACAAGTCAAAAATCTCTCCTTCTGTCGATTATGTTTGTCTACACTCTACAGTGTACTTTCGGTTTGTGATAAAATAAACTACTGACTACTGATATAAACACAAGTCGCTCTCCCTTTTTTGTACAGTCTAATTCATTTATAATGTGTGCAAAAATAAGTATTATAGTATAAAAAACAACTGAGAAATACTGGTAATACTACAACAAATACAAAGTGAAATTCCCTCCAACAACAACAAAATTTTCTCCTTGAGGGGTGGGGGGAGGGGGGGAGTCCCTCATCGGTTAGGAAACGTGGGTTCAACATAAAAGTGCAAAGAAACCATAAAATTAATATGAACAATGATTTTATACAAACACTAAGTTCTCCAAACTCACAAGGACAGCGAAGAAAGCAACATGAAAAATAAATCATAAAATACCAGATCAAAAAAGATCAATCAACAATAACTTCCTGCTGTCAAACATACTTCCTATTCACCAACCAATAGGAAATAGTTAATTACTATTAATTTCCTTCATCACAAACTAATTAAATATGACTTAGTTGTAATTTTAGAGTTTAAGAAAGAAGTCCATGCATCTGAAACAAATAACTGGCTAACTAATCCATTACCTGATATTAACTGGTGAATGACTGAGAGGCCGTGTTTCACCATATGATTAAGCCGTCTTATTGACTTTCCTCTCCCCCAGGATTCATACAACATATTCTATACAAACCTAACATAAATCTATATTCAACAAATGTTCATAACCAAAGTACCCCAATGAAACAACAACTAAATTGGCCTTTACGTTGAAAATTGCAACCAACTCAAAAAACTAAATTTTTTGTGTGGCCCAGTTAGATTTCTGAAAATGGGTATGTTGTTTACCGACAAAAAATGTTGCACACCCCCTTATGTAAGAGCTTCACTATAACATCACTGTACCTGAGAAACGCTCCATCAAAAGCCTCGAAAAGGTGTATTTTTCAGAATGAGTTTGCATCATTTTGGCACCAAAAAAAGGGTACTCCCGTAGTGTGTGTACCAGGTTAGGGTTAGGCCATAATTGTATTCCGATTTTTCCTTCTTTTAGTTCTATTATGAGTTCTGGGACTGTCTGTGTTAGCCAAGTAAATATACCCCCTGCCCATAGGTTTCAGTCTCTTTACACAACTTGATGTAAAGTAGGCGAACAAAATTAGTTACCTCCATATTGGTACACACACTTCTGGAGCACCAAAAAATATCTTAACTTACACATATCTTTAGCTTCATCAGAGCCATCTGGGCAATCCATTTCCCCATCACAGGTCCATCCTTGAGCGATGCATGTTAATTTTTCCGATCTATCTCTGCAGGAGAACTCGTGCGGTTTGCAAGAAGCAAGATCTGGTGATGGGAATAAATAATTTTCAGAACTCTGTTTATTCGAATAATATTTGACTCTTGTTTAAATCCTCCTAACCCAGAGTTACAACAATAATTGTGACCTCAACTCCCTATTCAGTGATAACGATTTTTCACAATGAAAACCTCTGGAAGCCCTTTTCAGTTTTGATTGAAAGTTTTGACTGCAATTTTTTGGTAAAAAGGAACAAATACCAACTCTGAATAAATATGTTTTTGAGAGACGATTGCTGAATTTCTTGGTGTCGTAGGGTGGTTCACATAACCACTAGTTGGTTTGGGCCTTTCTAAACTATAAAGTTCATGCATCTGACACAAATAACTAGTTAACTATTCTAATAACCGGTATGGACTGGTAACAGGACGAAAGTCGTGATTGGTCATATATAATTAACTCTCCAAGAAATAAAAAAAGGGTGAAGTATTGGTGAGGCAATGCAAAATCGGAATGATTTCAGTCTCTTCATAATAGAGCAAAAACAAACCTATCAGCGGCTTCTTGTACAGAGCAGAGAGAAAGACATAACTATGTTGTAGAGGAAAATAAATACAAAATACTTCAAGAGTATTACCTGAACCACAACCTCTTTCATCTGAGCCGTCCTCACAGTCCAGATCTCTATCACATCTCCATTTTGATAGAATACATTTTTTCGATCCTCTCAAACATGTGAACTGTTGGTCAGTGCATTGGGTGTCAATTTCTAAAAAGATTTATCACTAGTAAAAACACTAGAAAAAGTTAAGCTTAAAATCTTAAAATGTAGACGAAAGCAACAGCTAATTTTGAAGACTTACATACCACCATGCCAAGTAGGCTATATAAATCGCAGATAGTCAAAACTGAATAAGCTAGTGTATCACTTGTATGTATGTATGTATGTTTATTTGCCTCAAAAATGTAACAGTATCTGCATAATATTTAAACAGTATAACAGAGACAGGATACATGTTCAAGACCTTACTGGCCTAAGACACGAATGTGCGACATGCACCCCAACCGTAGATTAACAGTCATGAAATATACAAATAACACTACAGTACAATACACAGGGCAAAGTGGTACGGCACAACGACGCCTTACTGCGTATGGTATGTTCTAAAATGATAAAAGATGTAGGCTATTGAATATATTTACAAAACTGGTGAAGTTAGGGAAAAACGCATAAAAGCCAATACCAAGCAGGCTATATCTAATGAAAATTTGGAAATATGTTAAAGTTACATAGGCTATAAACAGAAATTATATCGGTTTCCTATTTTTTTACCTTTGATATTATATAAACTAAAAAAAACTATTTGCCCATGCTATATTGTACCTAAACACCCTTGGCTATTAAATTTTGAAATTACATATAACAAAGAAAATCCAAGTTTTACATCAGTGTCCTCCAAAGACTATTCATACTTGGCGACAAATGAACCGAAGCTGGCCAGAAAAGTATCAATACAATGACATAGTGCTGATGCCGCTTGGTCACGCCCCATTGAAACTTTAAAATGTTATGGAATGTGAAATCAAAATTTCACTCACTTGCATCAGATGGAGGTTCCATTCCTTGCAGAAGTGCATTTTTAGAAAAAAGTAAAATGAAAAGCAAGTATTTTAATATATTTTGCATATTTATAAATTCCATAGTCTGACACTTCGTACATCCCATTCTGCGCAGATCAAACGTAATTCCACCGCTAATATCGAGCGGACGTAAATCCCAGGAGTCCTTTTGCTCTTTACTGTACTCTAATAGGTGTTATCCACATGGGAATGCTGTATAATTCTGTATAACAACTAACATTCAAGGTGATAAAATTTACGGTTTGAAGGCGAAGAGCCTCATATTACAATTTAATTACTAAAGATAAAAAAAAATACAAAAAAATGAATGAAATTCCATTGAAACAAGATAAATAAAATAAAAAAAAAAATCGCTCACAACAAAAAATATATGTAAATATGAAACGCCAACATGCAATAGCCTTCTAGCAAAAATTTTAAATCTATAACCACTGGAAATTTCAAAGCAGTTGGACCAGTGGTTAATGGTTGAAGCTATTTTTTCACAACAACGAATGGAAAAAAGAAATACTAACATGATGATCAACAATATAATAACAAGACGATCTGCAATTTCCAATAACGCTTGGTAAAAGATGTTGAACCAGAGGAAGTTCTTGTCCTTTTAGAACATAGTAAACATGTTTGTACCAGCGGCTGCTCATGTAGTTCATTGTTCAGAAGGTACAAGAATACAAAAAGACGCTGATGAAAACAATAATTCAAATGACATTAATATGAAACATCACAAAGAGATCCGTCTGAAGAAGGAATGTAGGTTGGGACAAGTCCTTGAAGTCTGTCGGTGTATACTGATATCATAAATACCATAAACTCTAACTCAGTTGTTGCCAAGTGTTACCAGCTTCAATTTCACCAGAATAAAAAAAATCAAGCAAATTATTTAAAATAAACTTCGAAATATTCCGAATTTTCAACTTAGTAGGGATCATGAAAAAATAGAATGTGTAATTGTGCCTATGGTTAACCTATGGTTTTACAACAAATTCTGGCAAAAAACAACTGGGTCAGGTTTACTTTGACAACATGCAATAAGATTACTGATGCGTGTCTGGCCAGAATCTTAGCTTACTATGTGGTAGTCAATTTGTGATGACAGCAAGAGTGACATTCTGTAGCAATGGAGTAGATGAGAAGTTATTTTTAAGTAAAAAAAATTCAACTGTTTAAAAAAATTTTGTGCATTTAGAAATAATTCTCAGTGACAATAAAAATACTTCAGGCATTAAAATATGAAAAATGAATTCTTGGAAATGCTTGTCCTTTTGCACTAGAAAAATGTGTGTAATGTTGGAGATTAATTAACAACAAATAAGCCACGAATTTTTAATATGGCTCCCATGTCCGCCATCTAGGTTATATTAAAAAAATTATCTTATTTCCGTGGCTCGAAATCAAGACAGATTGTCCATCACGAAGCGATTCGTCTGAAGAAGGAATGTCGGGTCAGAACAAGTACATGTGTATTCTGGTGTATAATGATGCCTTGGCACAACACACATTGTTTGCGTTGTTACAGCGAGTGTCCAAAACTTTAATTTGAAATAATCAAAATGTTCTATGTTTTGTAGTATCCAAGTATATAAGAAGTTGTTTTTAATCAGTAAGAAATTCAACTGTTTGAAAATTGTTTTGTGCATTCATTTAGAAATCACTCTAGGTGACAATAAAAATACTTGAATATACAATATGGAAAATGAATTCCTGAGAATGCTTGTCCTATTTTGTGTTATGTTGGAGATTAATTACCAACAAATAATTTTTGATATGGCTCCCATGTCCGCCATCTAGCTTATATTGAAGACATTATCTTATTTCTGTGGCTTGTAATCAAGACTGCATAGTCATATTCCGAGAGAGTATATCAGCTTATTCTTGGCAGGAAGTAAGCTATACAATGTAAGCCTTATGAATGAGTCGAGGATACGCAAGCCTCAGATGAGGGATGCCAGATATTAAAATTTCATAGGTGGCAAATAATAAGATCTGATCCTGCTATGCATTCGTGCTATCTCCTCATTTTGATCTTCGTAGAAACGTACACAATGTACGAATTCCAATAATCCACGTTCATTAGGTGTAAATCCATGCCGACCAATCACATCTTGCTGAATCTTCGCAATGAAAGGGAATACATTCTGCGCCAGTGCAACAGCGTCATTATCACGTCTGTCAGTGAATTGATTCAAGACAATCGCGTTATCTTCTCTCCCTAGTTCGTGGATTATTTCCAACAAAATGTTTTTGATTTCTTGCAAGGGCACAGCACTAGTCATTTTGTTTGGGAGACAGAAGAATTTTATAGGCTTAACTAAGTATTTAAATTAAAGTTCAAATTAGAACTCTGTAGATAGATAAAAAAGTAGTTGGCTACCGTAAATCAGTAACAAGGTGTGGCTAATGGGGTGACTCACTGCTGCACTGAGTGTTTCGCGAACCCCATATAGTATACTATGGGTCAATATTTCCTGATTTTGTTAGTTAACGTACAATACAATACAATATTATTTCAATCTTTGTGTACAAACAGACAAAACAGAACATGAATGAAAAAATAAAAACAAAGACATGCTACTTATCTTTTAATAAGCAATGGACAGATGGGATTAAGTATCTGCAGACAAGAGACAGACAAGAAAAGCTGGTATAGTTCTGGTATAGTTCAGTACCAAAAGTACTTAGGATAGAATAGGATTTACATATTAATCCTGTATTCAGGGGGCAGAGAGATTTTGCCATACCAGAAAAGGATATATATGGCGCGGCGGTGTGGCTCAACGGGCTAAGCGTTAGGAATACGCTCGCCACCGCACCTCTAATTACTCTGCATGGGTTCGCAGGTTCGAATCCCATGCCAGCATGCAGGGATGGTTATGTGCGAGAGGATTGCTGGACTCCTCGCCGTCGTTGGGTGGTTCACGTAACCGCTGGTCGGTTACGGCTTCCTCCACCACCAAGTCCATGCTTCCGAAAACAAACAATATAACTAATCCCATACCCGACTTGGAATGGTAACCGGACGATAGGCCGTGGTTCGCCATATGGATGAGCCGTCTTATCGGCTTTCCTCTCCCCCGGGATAAATATGTAAATCCTATCCTATCTTATATGCATACCTATATAAATATGGTATTACAGTATTAAATAAACATTTGCCTTTGGCGCATGACTGGCAGGCAACGATATCTATATTTCAGTATTCAAGTATAGTATCCACTTCCACTAGCACATCGAGTGGACTATCCTATCTCTGTATTTCCCGTACCGTAACTTATCGGGAACAGTTAACTAGAATAAAACGGGGACGGGGTTCGGTGAATCATCCATTTGCTCTGCAAACAGGCGACCGTTTTCCCTCTTTAAAAATTTGTATGTATGTATGTTTATTTGCCTCAAAAATGTAACAGTATATGCATACCGATACCTAATACAGTAATAATTAAACGATGTCTCTAACGATAAATCCCAAAGTACGGTATGTAAAATTCTGACCCAAATTCCTGTTGGCCCAGTTTTCTTTAGTCCACAATAAAAACAGCACACGCCGGAGGGCGCTAGTGATGTGTCAACAATGAAAATCGACCGACTGAAATTCATGTATTTTTTTAAATACGGTACTGTATACTGCATCTCTGATGATATAATGTTATGTGTTATATTATATTCGTGTATCTATTTAGAGGTAAAAAATAAATATTGCTAAATACCCTGTTTTCGGTTTTATTCTATGTTACGGCGTGAGATTATCCATAATTTCATGTCTCGTGTTTTTTAGACGTTTTTGCAACTTCACTGAATTTCCCTACTCTGGCTTTGTCGTATCTATTGTAGTCATTTTGTAACATGACGGTGTTTAAGATGAATGATCTTATTAATTTGAAGATAGTTGAAAAACCATAACTCTGAATTGACAATATTTTCACAGACCCGACGGAAAATGTATTTATTACATACATTTTTGATGATACAGTATATAATTGTTACTTATTAATAATTATTAAATTTTTCCTTTTGTACGACTAATACTATAACATTTGTGTTAACGTTCCTCAAGTAACATTTTTCATTACAAATTGCATTTATAATAATAACAAGA